CACCTCACTCTAGCACTCCACATGGGTGGAGTGGCACACATGGAATCAGAACCAAGCCCAGTGGAAAGGACTTAGGTTAGAGATGACACCTTATCAAGAGAAATAAAGAGTTTAGTTACCAGCAGCTTGGTCTGAAGTCTGCGTCCATCAGCTAACTCAACTTGGACCCAAGGGCTTGTGCCACAGCTGTGGAAAGGAAGGGGCCAGGTGTACCCAACTGCTTTGCTCCTGTAGAACACCTCCACCCGGTCTGATGGGAACACAGAGTACCAGGGTCAAAGCAGGATATGGACAGGAAAAAAGGAAACATCGCTACAACAGCCACGGCCACGCGTGTCTTAACAGCACTCTTGGAGCTCACCCTACAATTCTCAAGGCACCCCAAAAGAACAGATATAGATAACCCCTTGTCACTGCAAGGCCTGCTCTGGACAAGGAGCTACAGATCTTTTAATTAAATCCAGTTTTGGAGAGACTGTATTCTGGAGAACTACATATGCAAGTGCTTTTCCTGCTCTGTAGCCTTTGGAAGTCAGATTTCTCCCTCCCTTCCCAATTCCAAAAGCTGCCCATTTCTCAAGAGTTACTTGTTAGATGAATTTCTGCCTCTCAAGACTTAGTACGCACAATAGAAGGCAAGTAACAGAAAGCTATCTGCAGGAAATAAAGCATTGAAGAAGTTGTGCACTACCTGCTACTGCATCTAACTGTTTTGTGAGAGCAGACATAATGACATCATTCTCCACTATGTAACCCATGTCATCTAAGTCATCTTTCTCAAAAACGATCATGGCTTCTGAACAAGCATCCCACACCTACAAAGAAAAAATACATCACATGAAGCTATGTGATAAAGAAGTCCGTTTCAGGGACTTAACAGCAAAAAGACATAGTCATCCAGAAATATAGAACTAGAGGAAACATCCTGGATTACTCTCCATTTCCAGCTACTAAAGTGCACCAAATAACTAATTTCATTAAATGGTTTAACTTAAGCTCAAAAATAATTCCAAGTCAAGTTTTCTATCCCTACTTTTCTGTTACATAATTGACATATAAAGTTACCCTACAACCTTGCTGTGGGTTAACCCCAGCAGGCAGCTCAGCCCCACGCAGCTGCTTCCTTACTTCCACTCACTGGGATGAGGAACAAAACTGGAAGGATGAAAGTACAGAACTCATTTCTGGAGGTAAATGCATTACAATAGGAAAAGCAAAAGCCACATGTGCAAGCAAAGCAAACCAAGGAATTAAATCACTGCTTCCCAAGGGCAAGCAGGTGTTTAGCCATCTCCAGGAGAGCAGGGCCCCATCAAGCACAATGGTTACTTGGGAAGACAAACGCCATCACTCCAAACTTCCCATCTTTCCTTCTTCTTTTCCTCAGCTTTTACTGCTGAGCATGACACCATATGGTATGGATTATGAGTCAGTGTACCCTGTGTACCCTCCCATCTTCTTCTGCACCCCCAGCCTGCTCACTCGCAGGGCAGTGTGAGAAGCAGAGACAGCCTTGGCACTGTGTAAGCACTACTCAGCAATAGCTAAAACATTCCTCTGTTATCAACAGTTTTCAACACAAATCTGAAACACTGTCCCATACAAGCTACCATGAAGAGAAGAAACTCTATTGCAGCCAAACCAATACACCATTATTTCCTGGCTAATACCCATGCCTCAATATCTACAGCTGCCATTAGGAATCCACCTTTCAGCCTGTAATGTCAAGACCCCAAGGACAGTTACTATTGAGCAGACTGCTACTCACAAAAAAGGTACAGAAATGAGCATAAGCATGACCTGCCCTTTACCATAGAAAGAAAAACCTTTGTATCATTGATGTAAGTAATTTTGATATTCAGAGTAGACAGACATGTGGTGTGTCTGCAGTCCTAAGTCAGGCACCTGCATTCGCTGGAATGGTTTGAGTCTCAGGCTGCAGACATGATCCCAGGCACCACAGCCTGAAACAGAAAAAGGACATGAATACATGGAGATACAGTTCACATGTGACACTGAGACCAAAACAAAACTGAAGCTCACTCCACACTCTCCTCCACCCTCCCGACTATGCTCAGGCTTGGCTTGCACCATCCCTAGTGCCATGTCTGCCTCAGTCTATCACAGCTGCTATCACAGCTCCAGAATCACATTTTTTACTGTTAACACAAGCCAGCAGGAAAGAAACAAGAGCTCTCCATGAACCTCTGACCTAACAGACAACTCTAACTGTTCCACCACTGAGTAATAAAACAGACACAGAAATGCACACCCATTATTGTATAGAACATTTCTTTCTCCATAAGGAACCAAGACTCAAATATATCTTTAAAGTGACAATTAATCCTCAACAATTGAAGACTGAGTTACCAGACTACAAAACACTAAGCTGCTTTTATGAATTGAACACTGCAGGTGCTGTAAAGAGCACCTTACAACCTCTCACTAGCCTAAAGTCACAAATACTTACATAATAACAAATCAGACCAAGATACCAGAACTCAGATCCATGTTATCAAGATAATTTGGATTTAATAACCATAACCAGCTTGTAGAGACAAAGGCAATTCTATTGATGTTAGGGTAAAGGCAGCACATGATCAAAAGGGGTTTTGTTTAAACAAAGGCAGCTCAAATATAAATGTTAAAAATGCAAACAGCAAAATCATACTTACTGCTTAGGAGGGTTGCTGATCCTGGGGAGATGGAACTGACCCTGTTACTGTAACTGTCTGGCATGTGACTGTATTCTTTCCTGGGACCAGCCTCCAGCAAAGCAATCTTTTTATCATGGAAGTGAATGTCATGCCCTAAAGTAAGCAAATACATGCTTTGTTACAATGCTCCTGCAAAAATCTCAAAAACAAAACAACTGAGATTTTGTAATAAGAAAGAGCAGATGCAACACTTAATAAAGAAATACATATACAATACAGGTTTTGACCAGGCAAGTATACTTTTGTATGTTAAAGTTTTACAAGTACAGTCCTATTATTGAGATGGACAACTCTTCTGCAGCTAAAGCAAGGATTACGTATTTTCCTTTTACATAAACCTTACATTTTTGTACAAATTTGTGCCATTTTTTAATGAAAATTAATTACTGGAATATTATCAAGTGAAATCTGTAATGTTTATTCCATGCACAGAACACATTTTCCAGAGCTTAAAGATAAATTCTCCTTTTAGAAAAAGAGATCAAAATAAAACTTCTGTGATGCATAGCAATTACATTAATATTTTCTCTGTCCTTACATTCTGACAATGGAATAGCACAGGCAGTTTAGACTTTAAACCTTAAAAAGTTAAAGAGAACTGAGAAAAAAAACGAAGACTCAAGTGTAAAACACTGCAGCTGAGCTGGCCACGCTTGCAGCATCCAATCACTACAGATGTAGAAGATGTCCACCACTGAGGACAGAAGTGGTCTCCTTGCAACATCTAGAGTTTACTGCTACAGCAGCCCTAAAGACAGCAGTGTTGTGGGCATATTTTCTAGATTATGCAAGTAATAACCTCATCTACTGAGAGGTCCCAAACCTGCTTGTCAGCCTTAGATATCACTGCTGGAGGGGATCCTTATGCTGTCTCAAGTCCACTGTGCTCTTGTTTAACAATACAAGCAGAACTTAAGCTTGCAACGTAAACCCTTATACTTTCAAAGCACTTATTGCTCAGGATCTTTGATCTTCTGTGCACTATTTTTTTTAGGTTTCTGTCACTACTGCACTCTTCTGAATCCATGTTGCAAATAAAGAAGCAGACAGTACTCTCAGGATCTCTAATGATACAAAGCAAGCAGAAATCCATTTTAACCTGGTATTCCAGTGTTTAAAATACAGGGCTAGAGAATGAAACTTGGGATCAGATAATAATGATTAGAGGGATGTGGCACCTCTCCTACAAAGGCTGAGAGAATTTGGTTTGTTCTGCCTGGAAGAGATGGCTTAGGAGTGACTGAATTGTGGCCTTACAGTACCTGAAGGGAGCCCACAAGCCGGACAAAAAGGGAATTTTTACATCATCTAGTGACAGGACAAGGGGGAATGAATTCAAAGTGAGAGTAGGATTAGGTTAGATATTAGGAGGAGGTTCTTTGCTGTGAGGGTGGTGAGGCACTGGAACAGGCTGCTCAGAGAAGCTGTAAATGTCCCAACCCTGGAGGTGTTTGAGGCCAGGCTGCATGTGGCTGAGAGCAACCTGGTCTATGGAAGGTGTCCCTGCACACAGCAGGGGCTGGGAACTAGGCCGTATTTAAGGTCCCTCCCAACCCATTCTATCATTCTATAATCAGAAAAGCATTTTCATCTACGGGTGACTTTATCCATCAGCTATTTAAAGATGAGCATATTTGACAAAAACACTACAATGTATAAAACTCCATTAATGGCTCCCTTAACAGCTGTGCACGCCCACGGATACGGCTAGGCTCATCACTGACCAGCTCACCAAACAGCTTTAGGTCAACTTTAGAGCGTTGTCACACGAGGACGCAGGATCAAAGAGATCCCACAGCAGGATCCTGGACATTGGGATCCTATACACGGTTATCTCTCATCGCGGGTGAGAGTGTCACAGTCTTACCCAGCACGGCGGCCATGGCGCTCCCGACCATGCCCCCGCCCGACACCACCACATCGTAGAGCGGCGGGGCGGAGGCGGTGGAGCGGAGCGGGGCGCGGGGCCCGGCCCTGAGGCGCGCAGTGAGCGGGGCCCTCAGCCCGCGCAGCGCCGCCATGGCGCGGAACTGACGGCGGGCGGAAGTGGCGCCGCGCAACCATGACAACGGCTGTGCGCGCCTCCGGGCTCGCGTCCGATTGGCTGTCTGAGGCCAAGTGGGCGGGCCCGAGCGCCTCCGGCCGCGCTGATTGGTGCGGGGCGGGGGTGGGGCGGACTGAGGCGGTGGCCCGCAGGCGAGCGTGGGGCCCGGCCGCGGCGCTCCCGGGTGGGGAGGCGGGGTCGCAACCCCAAAACCGGCACTTGCCGATTTATTTCATTTCTTCCAGGTGACGCGATATCCCCTCAGGCTGTAACACGCCGACTCCTGCGTTTCCCGCCGCCGGGCAAGGAGCTGGGAGCATCCTCTCGGGATGGGGGGCCGGCGGTCTCCGTTAGAAGCGGGCGTACCGTGCCAGGCAGAGTTATGGGGTGACCTCGGGGTGTTCGAAGAAGATGAGGAGCTGGAGGGTTTCAGGAGGGAGGCGGAAGTTCTGCGTGAGAAGCTGAGGGAGGCTCTCAGGTAGGATGATACCTGGTAAGGATGTCAGGATGGAGTGCAGGATTCCTTCTCCTCCTGGCCAGTGAGGAGGCGGAGCATGAAGTCCCAAAATGCACGTGTATAGTGCCAACACACTGGCCACAAGTGCAGTCACAGCAGGGAGGATGGGGTCAGTAGGTCCCCACGTAAGCAGCATTCACATAAAACACGAACAGCACAAATCCCCGCCTCACTCATCAGCTAATCATGCTTAAAATGTGCCAGCAGTTCACACACGTTTCTATCCAGTATTCAGTCTTCAGAGCTGTGGGCTTTCCAAGGTCGAGCTCTCAGCTGACTTTCCTTGTGATTAGTCTAGCTTGGCATTCACTAGCAGGTCACACATGCACACTCTTACAGAGGAAATAGTTTATGAAGGAGACTGCAGCAATCACCAGCAAGTGTATTGACCAAGAGTCTGTTCACGCATGATCTGCACCTTCTGTCTCCCCCACTTTTTTCCCCTCCTTCCTGTTCTTGGTTCATTCTGATTCACGTTGATCCTTCCTTTTGCCTGCATTTATTCTTTCCCTAAAATCTAAGTTTCACTCACTTTCACAATTATCCTCAGACATCCTATGAGAAGCTGGCTATTTTAATGAGACCCAGGATAGTCTCAGGCGGGTTTTTTTTCTTATTATCGATAATATGGTCATCTCAGGTACAAAGTTTCTAGCTGAACCTCTCAAACATCACACTAAACTCAAGTTTCTTGTAATGACATTCCCATCAGCATCCCAGGAATGCAAGCATTTGGTACTGTTTGTTAGGATTTGTGCATCTGTGTGCCTGATTGCCTCTCGTGCGTTTGTCTATTATGGTCAGTAGCTATTAGCAAGATAGCCCTAAAGTTGGAACTTGATGGTTTGCTTGTGGCCTTTCTGGCAATAGAGTGCTAGCAGCATAATAAATTGCATGACAAATCTAAGTAGGCCTAACTTCCATTTTAGACTTGGAAAACAAAACAAGCAAAGCTTTGCTCATGAACTTTGGTAGCAGAGCAAAATATGGAGCCTGAGAATGACAAACCCTAGACCTGTCTTTTAAAAACCTGTTCAGCCTACAGTGTCTTTCTCTTAATCAATAGTGTCTCCCTTCTTTAAATTGTTTTTTAATAATTTCACTTATTTCCCCTTCATAATGTCTTTGTCTTAGTCATACATCTGGTAACATAAGGCAGTCCAGTTCTTTGACCGACCTCACCTCAGACAGTGCCTGGGATCAGCAAAAGCCTCACTTGTTTCCTAAGTCCCACTTGAGGCCAAAAAGCGCTTCATCTCCCTGGATTCCTTCTATCACCATCCCTCAGCCTTTCAAAATGACACTACGGGAAGCTCGCAAAAAGTCTGAGTTGATGAAGTCATACATGTTTCTTGAACTAGACAAACCAAGAGACAAAAGGCAAAGCCAGGATGAAGCTGAATGTCAGAAACAATTCCGGGCACAGCCTGTACCTGCACATGTGTTTCTGCCCCTTTATCAGGAAATAATGGAGCAGAATGAGATTCGCAGGCAAGCAGCAACACAGAAAAGAAAGGAGCTGCTACTCTCAACACAGCGGCCCTTCAGTTTTCTGGAGAAGGAAGAGAAAAAGAAAGAAGCTATCAGACAAAAATTCCTGTCAGCAGCAGCCCCAAATGAGAGCTCCAAACAGAAGCAAGCCAGTAAAAAAGTTCCTAAATCTACTTATGACTCACTTCTTGGAGATAAACTCAAAGGTAACATGCCAGGGCTCTTTCTGTAAAAACACCTCCCTGCCTGTCCTTTGCTGTTTCCATGCTGGGAGGTAAGATCATGGCCTGTAGGACATCACTTGGAGCCTAAGGCCATTGTCCCCTGGTGTTGTCTAGTCTCCTGTGTGTCACTGGTCATTACATTTTGTTTAGATACCCTTGCAGTAGAGCGCCCTAAATTTAGTAGTCTTGTATCAGTGTCGGCAACAGCAGTTCTGTTCCACTTCCCAGAAAACGTGGGCACATTGAGCTCTTCAGACAGATTTCCATACCCACTTTGCTGTAGATCATGACAGTTTGGGAATCTTTCCCTGCACTTGATTCCATACCTTTGGTTACACTAAAGGGACAGAGATGATTTGTGGCACAAACATGAAGACAGATGTAGTGCCATAGGTCTCCAAGGTCCATGCAGTATCTTAGATCTGACAATTTTACTCCTACCCAAGTCATCAATTGTGCACAGAACCCCTAGGAGAGGAGAAAAATATTTCCTGAGCCCAAATCAGGCATTTAGTTTGGTTCTGAGTGTAGTAGTCCAGTCTCTCCTGCCATTCTCTGATGTTTCCACGTGCCTTCCCACTTGCACTGGCTCAAGCGCCAAAACAGGGAAGTAGCTGCCAGGACCATTCTCGTCAGGACAGCCAAGGAAATGTTACTGATCCTTGCTTGCTTTCAGATTGGCTTAAGCCACCACAGTTGAAAGTTTGAAGTAAGCAGTTCAGACTTGACACTTGAATGTGGGAACTAAGCCAGTCCTTAATAATTCTCATGGCTTTTCTCATCCTTTTCTCCTTTTTTACTGTTTCCCAGTGATTTCTTCTTGAGGACACACCAGTTCAGTTTACATCAGAAAACATTCTGTTGGGGTGTACTAACCTAAAAGGATTAGAAAGGTAAAAGGCAGCAAAGGACGCACCTTTGTTTTATTTCTATCTGTCATATGAGAAGGGAGGAGAAAGGAACATTTCATACTTGAGGCAATTAATCCCTATAAATTGACTCAAAACCATCTTATTTTGCAAACAGCAGTATTTTTTTCCTTAAAAGCAAAAAACCAACCCCCAGCCAACTGTCTGCATTTTCACAGAAATGAAGCTGCACAGGGGAGGACTTCAGTTTGATGTTATAATCTGAAACATATTGTATGGGAAGTTTGTCACGGAAATCACAAAACATGATCTATCTATCAAATGTTCCTTACTTAAAAGCCTTTCCAATAGAGACAATTATTGCTGGAGTTTACATAGAAAAGCCATCATCTGTTACAAGTATACTTGAACAACTCATTTGTACCACACAATCGACACAACTGTAAGTCCCATATAAATAGTATGGGACTGGTATGGAAGATTAACACTTCTGCAAGACAAAGGAGACAAAGGGTGCAAGTTACCTGGGACCCCTAAGAATGGGAGAAGTCCTGTTCAATTATTGCTCCAATAATTAAGAGATATGTAGAGAATAATTCCTAAGAAAGAGACCCTACCATGGTTTTACTGGCATGTTTGAATTGTTTTTCCCTGGAAGGCAGAGGAGAGAGGGGCTGAAAAGGGGGGGAAGGAGAGCACAGGATTTGGTCTCTCCCTGTATGTATAGCTGACATCATAATGGAAAGTTCAGACTTGGGCAGTGGCCATTTCACAGCCTTTTATCACTTATACTCTTCTCATTGCTTTCCTTTTGATCCTTTAGAAGCTGAACTCTACAGGGAAATCCGTATTCAAATGAGAGCAAAGGATTTGCTCAAGAGCTCTGTAGCTCCTATAGATACCGGCAACTGTCGGAGGGAACCTCAGTCCCGAACTGCTACCAGAACTAAGCAGGAAAGACTTGGCTTCTTACAGGACAAAAGTTTCAGCTTCAAACCAAGGGTTAATCCAACAGTACCAGATTTTGAAGAACTTTACTGGGCATTTCAGAGGAAAACAGTAAGGAGACAAGAACTCAAAGAGCCAACTCGTAATAAGCCATTCAAGCTAAGAACCTCCAATCTCCATGCCAGGCAGAGGCAGGCTAATGAAAAGATTAAGGTGAGATACCTGGATATTTCTGTGGTACTGCTTTTTCCGATCAATATACCAACTTCTCAAGTTTATAGCATTTAATTATTAATGGTTAACATCCTGTGACCTCTGACCTTGTATTGAGAGTACTGCAGAATTCTAGGACAAACAAGAACAAAATTCTACACAAAGAGATGAGCTATGACAGCAAAGGCTCAGTAACCCTTTCATAGCTCTAATCATGTCTCCTTCCCCTTGTCCCTCAGCCCATCCACATGTAAATCTCTGCTGATGGAAGAGAGAAGAATGAGTGCATTCTCATACCCCAGCTGTTCTCTTTGGTAGGCAAATAACAGAGGAGATTCTGTACTAGCAACCGTCTGTGAACAAATACACTGAATGAAGTTTCATTTCTTTCAGGATTCTCAGAAGCTTTCAGTGCAAAAAAGTCACTCTCTGCCTGGACTTTCCTCTCTCTCTTCCAACACCCTTCCTGTGCATATTACAGATGCAACTAGAAAGAGGGAATCAGCTATTAGGTAGGTAGAAAAGTTTGTCTACAAGACTGTACAACTACTGACCAATATGGAGGAAAAACCACCAGTGTTTTCCCTCATCACATCAACTACATCAAAATACATTTCCTAAATGTTTCCCTGTCTTCTTTCTTTGCTAAGTCTTGCTCTGTCTCCCAGTTGCTTTGGAAACTGCATACTTGTATGGCTGAAATTTTGTTTTTTCTCCTTAGAGGACTACAAAAGTGAAACTCCCAGCTAGCATGTGGTCTGGCAGTCCACATGGACTCATCAGTAACTTTTTTTTTCTATATAGATATGCCCAAGATAACAAAAAGGAAGGGGACAAAGAAGGAATTTATTGGCTGGAGAAACACAAAATGAAGTGTCAAGCTATGCAAAAGTCTGTGAACAGCCGAGCAAAAGCCCTTGATCCTCATAAAAGTCTGGAGGAAACACAAAAGGAGAAGTCAAAACAGAACAGGTCAGTATCCTACTCTGCACAAAAATAACTGTTTGCTCTACTGAGGATCATCGGATAATTCTTTAGGACAGATTGAGTCTAAAAATAGCCTAACCTTTTTTGGCTGTTGTATCCATTACACATTCATTTGGATATCTTGACAATTCCATACTTCTCCTTCCATACAGAACCATTTCCTTTAGATTAACATTTGTACAAATTAATTTGTACAAGCCAGTCAACTGTAATGTGTAAGATGGTAAAGAATACATAAGAGACAAGATTTTCTAAAAATGTGAACACTGTTTGCTTGCTTGCAGTCTAGAAGAGCTTTGCTAATCAGTCCTTTACTTGTGAGCAATAGGGGTTTTTTTCCCAGCATTCAGAATCAAGAGAAGTACCAAAGCAATTTAAAGAATGAAACACTTTCTGAGAATTAATTATTCCTGATCAGCTACAGTCAGAGGGAACCTATAGTACACAGGCAATTTTTCCATTTCAGGCAAAATATACAAGACAGAACAAAAGAATACAGAAAGGAGCTGGAAGAAATGCAGCTGCGAGTCAAGAACAGACCATTCCTCTTCGAACAGGTCACCAAGGTAACTGGTCAAAGTCCCAGAGTGTTTCTGGGCAACAGGATAAATTGTCTTTCATTTAAGACAGGCATTAAGAAATCCAGTCTCAAATTAATTAATGGATAAGAAGGTACAAATGGTTGCATAGTCTCTGGACTGCACGCAAAATAATACATGGAAAATCCACCAAAGTATAATTTAAATTCCTTCCTACCACTTGAAAAAAACATTCAGGCTTATTTCTAGGAGCTTGCCAGTTCCTAGTATGTACTGCAATCACAGTATATGGTCTGATCAAAATCAAGGCCTTATCACACCAGAAGTTAAATAAATACCTATTCTGCACCTGAATACCATAGACTACAGTCTGGAGATGCAAAACTTTTTCTTAAAACTCTTTCCAGTTAAGCACTTTTCCTTTGTATCTCTACTGCTATGGCAGGACATTAATGATGGTTATGTTGCTTTTATCACCTGTAGGCTTTGCAATCTGGGGCTGCATTCAGCACATCTCACCCATCACACGGTATCCAGCTGCAAATCTCTACTGCACCTGAAGTGTAGATACAATCTGTACTGTTTTTCCCTGGGTTTTCTCTTTCAGTTCCAAGTCTTTGCAGGAACTACAGCTGGTTAGAGACAGTGACAATACATGGACAATATGCTGATTTAAAATTTCTCAACAGAAAGTACCCTCCTGGATCAGGCTTTCTGTTCTGATAATGGAGGCAGAGAACACACATGTATGATAAATACTGGTAATATTTCCATGTACCAGATGGATAAGAATTCACCTTTAGCAATAGTGTTCACTCATGTTGATACTAGGTTTCTATCCTTCCTTATTGAACACCTTAATCTTTAGGGACTGGCCAGTCCCTCTGGAAAACCCTCATCTCAGACTACATTGACTTGCAAGGTTCATTTGGAGGCAGTGAGGATATAGGATCCAAGATGCTTGTTTTTAAATTGAGCTGATATGAAGCTATTTCACAGGCACTCTCCCATTTATTAACTTCACTGTTGTTAGTTCTTACCACTTACAAGCAAATGTGCTTACAGGATTTCACACAACTCTGTTTTTGCACATGTTTTTTTGAGTGTCAGAGTTTGGACTCAGACACGAGTATACCAGTCTGGTAAGACTGGAATGTGGTAGGAGGAGAACAGAAGAAGGAAGTAAAAAAAGAACTGAAGCAGGAAAATATGAGCTCTGGCTTTGAGAGATGTTAGACATTGTCCTATTGTACTGTATGGATTACAAAAGTTTTGGACAGGAGGTTGTGTTGTCCTCTTGTCCCCATTAGGAGCGTCAGATGTGCACTTCAAAACAAGTTGAGTGCTAAGGGGAATCCCCAGTTCTGTGTATTTACTAAGTTTCGATTTCACAGCAAGATGCTCGTCAAGGAGCAGAGCGTCGCTACAGACGCACCCTCCAGCAGGTTGGCCTAAGCGAAGAATTTGTAAGGAAAAAAGGGAAAGATGCCACTGACTTGCTGGAAGAAGAATCTGATGTTCACAGGTAATAAAAACAATGCAGTACAGCTCTTTTGTCTGTGACTAAAAATATTTTCCTTGCTCATTAATGCATTCCAGTTTTTCTATAATCTAGTGTAGGAAAAATTAAACCAACTTCACTGCTGTTATTTAAGCATTGTGGCCTCTCTCTCCAAATTGCTATTTCATATGCATGGGGAAAACCATTTCTAGTATTTGACCATCACTGTTTCTGCAGGCTGCCTGAGCCTCGGGGTGAAAAGGATGACTGTACTGAACAGGAAGGAGTATCTCAGGAGGAACAGAGCACAACGGGAGTGGCAACATAAAAGCTCACAGAAGAATCCATCAATCAGCTCTTAATTTTTTTTGTTCAAGATTCTCCAGGTTAATCCTCAGGAATTTAATAGTCTAAGCTAACACCTAAGAATTGCAGTAGGGTGAGATGGGAGAATTTAGTAAAGGAAGAAAACAACTGTTGTTTAGAGTATGTATTGTTCAGCCCAGCAAACCCTGCAGCCTCCCTTAGTCTTCAAAAGTGTCCCTTGTGTGAGCTCTTTCACTTTAATGGGCAACAAAACAAGTTAGAGGTTGAAGCACTATCTTTGGATAAAAGTAGATATGAAAGATTGAAGAGGTGCATTCTCTAGTGTCAGCTCCTTGCATTCATGCCTCAGAAGCACACAGGAAAGGGAGAATGCCTTTCACTGTGCTAAAAATTGTTTTAGACACATATGTGGTAGAATGTTTTAAAACAAGGTATTTCTACAAAAACAAGTATGAGGATTTGACCCACCTTGGGTGAAGACTCAGAGAAGTCTTTGGTGTTAATTCTTCATTCACCCACTACCTGCTCTGCTTCTTCCCCCCATTACTAAGAAGCAATAGTCTTGCTATATAAAAAAAATCTCCCATGTTTCATGATTTGAAAGTGTTTCAACATATTACCAATTTAGGTCATTAATTTGGCCCAAAAAACAACCAAAATGAAACAGTGCATCACTTTGAATTATTGTTTTTCTAATTGTATGATTACTGTGATATCAAAGATGGATTTTGGAGGAAAAAAGATGAGGTATTGCCTGCCAGCACGCTGCACTCAAATGCCTACTGCATCTTGAATGGTGTATTTCACACTTTTAGTGATTTCCCTTTACTCAGCACTAAAAACCATTTCAAAAATAAAAATCCTTGCCACCTGGAATGTTTTCTGAAAATTTTGCACTTTGACATTAAAATATTTTTAAATGGATATCATGTTTCTGTATTGCTCAATTTCCCTTATCAATCATCTTTTCCTCACTTACTTAAGTAGATGTGTCTCTTTTGACCTCAATCCTTTTTTCCTTACACTGTAACACCACAGCCTAATTATCAAATCAGAAAGACAGTACCTGTCAGAGCTACCACATTAGACAAAGATATAAAACTGAAATAATGTAATTTTTAATCATAACAAAGTATTAAATCCAAGTATTTGTGGCCCAGGGGTTTCATACTGCTACATTACAGGCTGAATGCACCGCACTGCAATATCCTTGTTTGTGACTCAATCTCCACACTGAGAGCAGGCTTAAGCTCCTTGGCAGGTTCCAGGAAGGCTGTTACCAGTGTACTGGTTCCTGCACAGGTTTAATTGCATAGGACATACAGAGGCTGTTCCTTCTCTGGGTACCCCGTGGAAAAGAGCAGTGATGTAACCATGCTGTCACTGTGCCTTGCCACATTGAAAGAGGAAGGAAAGAAGATTACTTCCATGCTCTAAGTCTGTGGTTTAAACCCTCTTTGTATGGATATATTTGGAGCAGTGGGACTGAAATTTTAATACATACATTTTAAAGGGTATTTACTAAAACTGGTTAATGGTGCTGAAAAAAGAAATCTCTTTTTTCAAAAGAAAAAAGTATGTGAAGTGAAAAGGGAAACCGTAAGAAGTGAGGAAAGAAAGTTTAAATTATTATGCCATATCATTTTAAACAAATACTAAGGTGATATGCATGAATATAATAACAAATAAATTAAAGTCTTCATATTGATCCCTAAACAGAAATTGCAGAAATGTGATGAAAGTAAAAGCATCAGGCTAAGTAACTGAAACTCACATCTCTCTTGCTAAACAAAGTTTTGTTCTGAAAGGAGGATTACATTTCTGTAATCCTAAAAGAGAGCTGTAGTCTCTTAATATGTCTCAAAAATGGTATGGAAATAAAGAGTTTCAGCTATAGTTTTGGATTTTTGTATTGTATGAAAACATTTGCTTATATTCATTTACAGCCCTTTCAGCTAACCTACAAAAATACTGTAGAGAAGAAGACATCTCACTGGAGTATCTTCCATCAATTGCTGAGACGGCAGCCAAACTGCATCAAACTTTGATTCCCAGCTACCTGGTGGAGCTTCTGCAGGAACCTCAGGGTTCCAATACCTGTACCAGCAGCAGCAGTACCTTTCCATTCAGCTAGGAAGCAATATAAACTAGGCATTGCCTTTGCATAGAAGCTATTAAAGACACACTACATTAGCAAAACTCTGCATTCTCAGTAATGCCAGTTCTGAACACTCTAAGTTAATACTCAAAACACCGTGTGGAAAACTCATTTAAAAAGCTTGATATACCAAACAAATTTTAGAGAAAAAAGACTGGGAAAACCAGGAACAGAACACAGCAAATGTAACCAAATGATATCAAGTAGTACATTTTATTCATATAGTAAGTCAGCTTCTGACAGTGAGATGTATTAGAATATAGTCTCTGAAGGTAAAGGGTGGAAGGAAGGCCTGTTGCTCAAGATACTGAATATTTGAACAGTGCCTAGCACAATGAGGTCCTGGTCCTTAGCTGGGGCTCCTAGGTGCTCCAGCAAAACAAACACTTCAGGCTTTAGGAGATGGACTGCATAAGCAGTTTTGAAATGGCGTTCCACAACATGGGCTAAGTGACACCTAAGCAGCAGACTTCACCTTTTAAGTTCTGCAAGAGAGAAACTTGGTCCAGCAGATCTTCTCAATCTCCAGTTTTAGGATTCATCCACTATCTACCCACCCCTCTGTGCACAGTTAAAGCAATGTTCATTCATCCCACTGCAATATGATGAGCCTCAAGGGGGAATGATCGATCCCGTCTCAGTCACCACATATAAGAGGGCGGAAAAAAGAGCAGCTGGTCTCGCCCTCTTCTACTCCAATAATTGACTCAGTGTCTGGCAGGTGCAGAGACTCAACACCAAGGCTGGGCTGAGAGTTCATGGAGATGAGATTCTTACTATGAACTGTCGATTCTTCCAGCAAACTGCTGCCCATCAGTGACTCTATTATGAAAAAAAAAAAGGGTAAAATTCTCATGATGCAATGACACTGCCATATAAGATACAATCCTTGCCCCACTTCCAGTCTTACTGACTTCTTCCCTAAACACCTACTTTATCCATTCCTACTCTTTGGGCATCCGGTGCTCCAGTGGATGAAAAATACTATGTTTATTGTTTTGAACCTTACTGTGGTGGGATCTCATGCAGGATTGGCTTTCTCTTTAAATAATACACATTGTGTGAAAACCCAGGCTGCTTGCAACAAAAAAGCATAACCAAGGGAAAAATCCACATAAAAAACCCCAACTATATTCATATTGATTTTGAAAACAATAAACATATCTGCCCCTTGACCACCATACAAAAATATACCCTTGTTTTCTGTCCCAGAAAGGGGAGGGTAAGCAGTCCGCATCTCCAAGAGAAACAGACTTTTGTTTCTTACTGGCTAGTGGTCTCATATTATCAGGACAAACATCTTTTTGTTGACCATCCACTAATTTTTTTCCTGCACTTTTCCCCCAGAGTGAGTGTGCTCCTTTCTTTACCTGGCTGTTCTCGCTCCCTGCTGCCAGTTGTTCCAATTCGGGAGTGGTGTTTCCTCATATGCACATTTCTGCTACCACTCTGGGAAAATGTCTTCCCACAAATTTGGCACTGATGGGGCTTCACTCCTTGGAGTCAAAGGGGGAAGAAATATCCCAAGAATTACCAAAATGGGAGAAGAGACCTCATCAACTAAGAAACTAATAACAGTTTTGAAATGGCTGTTAACACCACTTGTGCTAATTTATCAGTAAAAACCAAATGAGAAGTATTCCCGTCTCCTGGAGGGCCATAAGCCTCTAGAAGAGAAGAGGTTTAGGTATCAGTAAGGGCAGTTGTTGGAAAACTCATGTTTGAAGAGTAACAAAGTCTTCAAGTCAGATTGATGAGAGGGAACAAGTTATTTGAAATAATTTACTCATTGATACGGAAATACTTGATGTCCCACACAGAATAAAATGACCAGAGGCAAGGAAGCTATCTCCTGCCACCACACAATGAATTGCAGCATCTAGTTTATGTTACTGAGCAGAGATTTGATGATGACTTGTCACTGTGAAAGGATTTCCATTTTACAGAGCAGTTCATCATTTCCATAATACAAGCATGATGTCTACACTTCTTGGCTCAATGGCATGGAAGGACAGAAACAAGCATTGAGAACTCAATCATAAATGTTATTACCTCAATAAAATCTCCCGTTCCCCAAACACACCACTTTCATTGTGTGCTGATGATATTTAAGATAGATCAATCAAAATAGAAGGCAGAAGCTTTGAAACACTTGTGAAATACATTTCCACCTAAACTTTCGACCAATTACAAGTATGTAGTAGGAAAAAAATAAAGGAAAACTCTACCTATGGCAGAAATCCACTTGAAAGAGATTTCAGATTCAAATGGCTGTGGTTAATACACAGAGATCCTAGAGTCTCTCTTTTAAATAACCAAATAGCAGCTATGAAAAAGATATTCAACTACATGACATTTTAGCAATAATTTTAAAAAAAATTTTAAAACTGTAATTTGAATTCAGAAATAGAAACAACGAGATTAAAGCATACACGTTACAGGCACCACGAAAAGGAAATCAAAAAAACCCTATGAACAGAAGTTCTGTAGAAACCAGGATTTTTCTTAAGGAAATCCAATCACAGTCCTACAATAAAGGTCTTTTTTCAGCCAGATCACAGAATGTCAGAGGAATGTCACTCTTACCTGAGTGGACAACCAAATGTTTCCGAAGACTGGAGTATTCAGCAAAGGAGCGACCGCATCCCTGTGCCTGACACAGAAAGGGTTTTTCCCCTACAAGGGAAAAGTAAGTTCTTAGATTTTGGGATCACTACTTAATCTGATTGCCCAAGTCCCTGAGAACAGCCTGGACATCTCTACTCCATTCTCCCATTTGGCCTTATGTATATCAGAGTTCCATGGAAATTACATATCCTTCTTTAAGCTTCCTAAGGCTTTTACAGCATTATCTTCATCAGCGGAAACAGTGGCATTATTTTAAAATATTCTTAAACTCTCATTCACCAAAAGTGAAGGAAGGGACCACTGTTTCTAGATAATCTTCCAAGTATATAAATAATAATAGAGTAATATAAAACTACTCAATCTGTGATGTATCTTCTATATGCAGTTCTCAACAACCAGCTCTGTTCCACACACTCACAGGGTCCTGCTCCCTTTCAGTACCAAAAATCCCATTAACTGTATTTCCCTTCATATCAGATTCTATACTTTATTTCAGATCAGGCTGAACTTGCCAAAATCCTGTGAGAGATGTGTCAGTCATTTATATCCATGTGTGGAGCACCTGTAATTCAAGGCACAAATTGTTCTCATGGCTGAAATTTATATCACAGCTATTTTTCTTTTATTTGAATTATGATAAATTGGGAGGTTACTACATTAATGCAGTGCAATAAAATTAATCTGTTTTGAACACTCTCTTAATAAAGCTGGACGTAACTTTTGCCAGCAACATCCCACTAAAGAACTCAATATACCATGTTTAACACTATGACTTCAAGTTTTTAACTGGACCTCTGTACAAGAGCAATAGCAAGACCACAGGAGATTAAGCAAGCTATTTTAACAATTTATTGTACAACATATATGTAGTTCTTTCAGAGTGAACTTGTTTTTAAAGGTGTTTCTACTGTGACTTTGTCTTTAGAAGTCTTCTTCCTACAGCTCATTTATTAGCCTCTTATCTACAGTAGCATTTGACAGCTGTGACCAAAAAGGATCAACACAGCATATTCCAATTGGGGTTACAAAGCTGAAATATGTAGCAGAGTCTCAAACATTGATTGTACTTCCTGGCTTGTTATAAATCTTTAAAAGTTTGGGAAAACTACCATTGACCTAAATAACAGCACACATTTCCATCTATAAGACACTCTAGAACTATCTACACCTGCAATTTCAGAACACCTTTGGTCTGATCAAACGCTTAATTCCACATTATCCACTTGCATCTTAGAAAGTTACTATTTACTCCTCCAGAAGCTACTAACTACTCTGTTGATTGCAGAATGCTCACTTATCAGGGAGGATTGTGCATATATCAGCTTGGCCTATTAACTTAATCTGTACCTTGGTTGGGAGCTGTAAGTGCAAAAGAAAACTGCAAAAAAAATAGCTGCTGTTACTACACATTCAAAATTTTATTATTGGTATAGACAATTTTTAACTACATCCCAACATCTGCCCCCAAACCATGTGTTCTAGCTAGACTTTAAAATAGCAGCCTTTTCCCATGTGTATCGACAAACCACATACCATATGGTCATGTTTAAGTAAGGCAGAAGGCACAAACAGCTGCTGGTGACCCACATAATCTGTAATTTCATTTTACCTGGGAGGCCTTGTTCTCTCACACTTGCCAAGGATTTTTTAAAACGTTAACCAACTGTAATACAATGCTTCTGAGGCCATCAGGGAATCTCTAACAATATTCCAAGAAGCTTGAACTGGGCCATTTGTTTGAGTATTGTGATAACCCTGAGGCTTAAAAAACTAAACAAACAAAATCACCAGAATATTCACTATGAACTTTGCTGGTCATTAATTAAATTGCTGGTCACTATTAAATTGCTGATAATTTCAGAAGTAACTTGTGTCTCTCTCAAACAACTCTCTAGTACAAAAACACCTAAAGCACTTTGGCTGCTATACCAACTTCTAAAAATACTGACAAGGCAGGATCATATTCTCCAGAGAAGCCATCATAGAAAAACCATGTATAAAATACAGCACTATGAAATAAAGGTTCTTGTTTTATTTACTATAAAAAGCTGAGCATTAATTTAGAGTATAGAGCTCCAGCATACAGTAACATCCCAAATTAGCATTGGCACAAACAGAGCAGTTTGCACACCATAATGCTGTCTTCTAATTAATGCTTTTTTCTGCTTTTCCTTGCTACTCATTCCACTGCATTCCTCATTTCCTTGTATGTCCCAAATGTAGTTATTCTACAAGCAGCATAGGTAACACAAGCTAGTCAGGCAAATGTCAGCACAGCTCCTACTATCTAAGCTACTGAGACTTTCAGGAATTTCAAATAACCTCTTTACAAAACACAGTTTCAGAAGTCATGTTCACTAACTATTCCCTTGGTAACAGTCTAGTTTCACACACCCCTCCCTCCATCACACAAGTGGAAGGGAATCTTCAGAGTGTGGTCTGAACAGAATACAGCATCACCACACACTGTTTGAAAGGTAAAAAGCCTGTGTGAAACTATACAGGATAGTAAAAGAGATTAGCACTTGATTTATCTGACCTATAGATCAATGTGAATTTACAGAAAATGGACATTAATGGAAAACAGATGTAAACAACATAAGACTTTAAATAGTTTGAGGCCAGAGGAGGAAGTGGTTTATTCCTCAGCAAAGACCCCACCTCAGCAGACCACAAATAGGTGAGGTCTAAAACACACCAGTGTGAATTCGTAGGTGGTTCTTCAGATTTCCAGCTGTTGTGAACTGTTTGCCACAGCCCAGTTCTGTGCACACAAAGGGTTTTTCACCATTGTGAGTTCTCATGTGCACCTTCAGCCTCTGCAAGACATAGAAACTTTTTCCACAACCTTCTGCTGGGCAGGTGAAGGAGCGGTCGTTCCTGGAAAGCAACAAAAAGCAGTTTCATTACCAGCTACTGCAACACATTTTTTCATGAACACCCAATTTCTTTCTTTTATTAAATATGAGTACCTGTTAAAATACAAAAAAATCTAAACCAAACATAACAACGACCTGCAAAATTATCTAACTCTAATCCAAGTTTTTCAGTATAATTGACTTTAAGCACACAACAGACCTAATATTTATAAGAATAATGCCAGGTTTTCACAGCTTGTCAATGTCAAAACCTAACATTATCTCAAATACAAAGTGCATTTTTTCAAGGTCATAACAAGAAACAGCTTCATTCTGCTCACCGGTGTGTTTTCAGATGATACTTGAAGTGAGCTGGCCATACAAATGTCCTATCACAGCCCTCAACTGTGCACTTCAGCTTCCTTTCCACACGAGATAAATGAGGAATGGGGCTTGAATCTTTTGGCTGCCCATCTCCTGTGCAAAGATGAACATTTTCACCTGGAAAAAAACCAAACCCACTGAAATCTAAAAAATATACAGATTACTATAATGTGTCAAATTTAATAGAAAAAACAGCATCACATACAATACAGGATTGTAAATCAGGTATGTCTGGCTACTGTGTAGCATGCCCTACATGCTGCTGCTTAGCCTGTAACAGGGATCAGAAACAGACTTGCAAACCTTACCAGGCCCATAAACTATTCCCAACAAGCCATCTGGATCAGATCAACTGCTACCAGATAAGGCTTATCACAAAAACAATAGAAAGCTAATGCACCAGAAATTGTAGAAATGGTCTCTATAAAAATATAAACAACCAATTTTAACTATCAACCAACTATCATCTATTAGCTAAGTTGTTTTTAAAAACACCTTGGCTAAAGTAAGACAGATTGTATTTGCTTGCCATTATTTATTAATTAAGTCAGAAAGCATGTCACTAAATCAAATTATGTATTCTGCAGGAAACTGATCTCCAAACCCAGTGGAACTAAAAAGAAAGTATAATTTACAGTACGTATTAAAAATAGGATCTTAAAAGTGAAAATGAAAGTTGAAGAACAAGCAGCTGCAGTCAGAAAGAAGATATTCTTTTACATGTACCAGAGAACTAGTACAGATGGTTCCACTAGAGTTCATTCCCCAAGAAAAAATGCAAAGCCTATTTAAACTGAAGAAAAGCCTAACTGTCCTGTATAATTCTGTCCCTGATGATTTGAATATGTCATAACTGATTCAAAGAATGAGAAAATTAAAGAGAGGAAGAAACAATGTGATATTAGGGGTCTTCTATGGAACATTCAACTTTTGAGACACAATCTGTGGATCTCCTACCATTATTGCTTGCTTTGGCATTCTTTGCGAGCTGTGCCCGAGTGGCAGCAATTAAACTGTCATGGGCCAATTCTTGCACTCGTAGGAACCATGGGGTACTGCTGTCTGTGCTGTCATGAGAGAGAAAATCATTTCCAGAATCTTCTGCTTCATCTTGAACAAACACCAAGTGCTCTGTGGGAGACCCCAGCCCTAGAAAAAAAGACAAATTTGTGAAACAATAACATAACAGAGGGAAATTTCTTTTGCTTCTCAGAGATTAGTGTTCATAGCATGGATGAAATAGCTGCCCTGAAAAAGTCTCCACTGACCTCTACATTGTAGAAAGATGTTGATGACTAAATGCTCCTAAAATATCCAATAATGCCCAGCAAATTTCATGATCTTTCCTCTTCATAAGCAGCAGGGACAGAGTTGTACTTGTATCTCCTGCATTCTGCTGAGACATATCCAGCCAGATGACAAACAGAAGAACAATTACCTGCTCTTGTTAGGTTGAGAAGAATGAATGAAGTGCTGTCGCTGGGCTGGAGGTCTTGCAATAAACTAGAAGTTTCTGGAGTTGACAGAAGTTCAGATGGTTTCTGAACATTCTGTGCCCTTGTTTCCTCTCCATCAGGGCCTACATTTACCTGGAGACTTCTCAAGACAGCAGATGAAGAAACATCTTTGGAAGAATTAGTGTGACTTGGAGAAGTGAGATCTCTTTCATCATCTAATGAGGCAAGTGAAATCAGAGTAAATAAAAGTATAAATACACTATGATTAAAAGACACCTATAAAATGATTTTTCTAGGAAAAGACCCCAGAACTTGAGAGAGAAGGGAGGAGAAAGCGTCTAACTAGTCAGACTTCACTATTAAATGAGAAGATTCAGTCACTCTGCTGAACTTGTTGCTCCATCCATGGGATGGCTTATCAGCAAGAGACAGCGGGGCCAGCGTGGTGAAGTAAAGACAGTGGTATGAAGGGCAGGGTCACAAAGATCTGCCACACAGATTTTACCTGGCAACATGAGTCTGTTGCATTCTGAGGTCTCAGTAACAGGAAGCAGAGAAAGACAGGTGATGTCTTTTGGTTCTGATTCCACCAGTCCTTGTCCCAGTGGAATGGAAGTATTTTGAACAAACTGAACCAGCAGCTGGAAAAACATACTGAAGATTAGGTCAAGAGCAGTACAAATCATTTAGAAAGGTACTAAGTCCAGTCAATCCAGTAGTCCCTACCATCTTGCAGGAGACATTGAATATAATACTATGGATACACACAGATATAAATGAAAACTTTTCATTTTCCTTTTTACGAGGAAAGAATTGTCATCTCTGAAATACCTATGAACTTCTCATTTCTTTAACATATTATAAACAGCTCTGGATCATTGCAGAGCAAGTCTAGTTAGGCTATATTTCTTTTTAATTAATATTTTACCACTAGATACTTTACTGTGGTCTAACATTTCAAGTAAATGCTTTCCACGCTCAACCTTTGGTACAAGTAATTTTTAAAATCATTGTCTTTAAACACTTAACTAAAAATTTGCCTTTTCTTAATTAAAAAAAGCAATCAGAAGACTAGTTACAAAGATGTCTATCATATGGCTATTCAAAATAAGCAGGTAACAATCAGAGAAACAAGGCTGGGATGACAAGGGGGAGAACAGAGGCAGTTTTAGCCATCTAAATCAGCTATCATCAAAGATGGACAACCAACCCACCCACTAAGGGGATTAACAGAAGAACCCCTCTCCAAAATACTACACAAAACAAGGGGGACTATTGCATAAACAGGTATAGAACTCAAACTGAGGTGCAATCCCTGGGGAGGAATTTGGTCAAAAGATTTGGAAGGATTTGTACAAGACTTATTAGGTGTTATTTAAGGGAAAGGCAAAAGGCAGGAAAAGGAAAGGATCAAGGTGGATCAGGGCAGAACAAACACAAGAAAATTGAGAGAGAAGGATAAAAGGGGCCCACTGCATATAAGCAGGAAGCTGATCAATTCAGTTGTCCATCTTACACTGAATCCTGTCTCATTCAGCTCCATTCTTACCTACTTCCTGTGTGGTCCTGCTCTCTACAGTGGATCTCTAGTGGCACACACTAGTTTCTTTTGTGTGTGTGTGTGTGTGTGTGTGTGTGTGTATGTGTGTGTGTGATAGGAGAAAGAGAAGTAAAAAGTGAACTCCAAGCCAGCCTAGTTAGCAAATGAAATGAGAAGTCTGGGGATAGATCCCAAAGAAATCCATAAAGGTATCCCTGAGGCAGCAACCCTTGAACACAGAATCAGATACTTTGTGCTGCTGGTGTTTATGAGGGTAAAGCTACAAGCACTCAGCCTGCGTTCATAAGTTTGGTGCCAATCACATCTGTACAGTGTGCGCACACCCATCTTTCCAAACAGGTACTAAACTTCACTAGCGGCTGGCTCCAATATCGGAATTAAAGAGCTGTCCTGATGTTTCTTGATGAACCCAGGAGGTGAGAGGACATCCAGTCCATCATATTTAGCCATCCCTAACATCAGTCAGCTCTGGCAAAAATTACTTCCAGCTAACTCCTCAAAATCTGGAGTTATAAAAAAGGAACCTGACATTGAAAAGGAACAGGAAGTCAGAAAAATTACTTTTTTACCCCTGAAAGTCTTCTCATATTTTTAACCTAGTTCAGAGCTTCTTAACTCATTCTGTCCCTTTTACAACGTTTCAACTTTTTGTCAGAGTACCAGAAATAATGCTGGATCCTCTTTACACCCAAGGCAGACACAGAAATGAGACTCCCTTTTTTTCTGTTACCAATGCCAGAGCACTTCATATTAAAATATTCTCATTTAACAAGAATGGTGCTGGGAGTTAGGAGATAACAGTCCAACTTTTGTAATGGACTGAACAAATTCTGTGAACTGCACAAGCTTTTTTAAACACGGTCTCAAATCCCTCCCCTGTAGGGATTTAAACTTCAGAGAGACGGAAACGGGCCGGTAGTAGCACACCCAGACACATACTCCATGTTTCAGAGAAAATGCTGGTCAAAACCCTCATGTAGGATGTATTTGTTTGTCTTTAAGTTCCGTCAAACAAATTAACTCCTATACTCACATTCTCAGGTTTGTGTTTTTTTTAAACACTGAATGAAGAAATATGGAAAATAAAAATATACTAGAAAGTTAAACCTCAAGTTCCTTATCTCTAGGAAACTCCTTGACAAAGATCCCGCGTTCTGCTGCTGTCTAGCAAAAAACTGTATGTAGCAAACTTCCTTTATCTTTGACATTTAGAAGGAAATTGTACAAGATAATTATTCAGAGGCTACTACCCTCATTGTGACACATTTTAGTACACAGTCACACAGAGCCCATATGGAGTTGTCTGTGCAGTGAGATAGTTCATCAGCGTCAAAAGAAAGAGACTAAAAAATGCTGATGTACCCACTGTATATTTGTGATTAAAACCCAACAGTCACAGATAATTTGATTCCTATTTTGTACGTTGTGATTGTCTTAGTACTTCCTTTTCAGAACTATTGGCATCTAATTACAAATTATTCCTGTGGCAGACACCAGCCTTTGGAGCCTCCCTTACATCAAGAGAAAGTGCTAAATCAAAGAAACTGTAAAGAAAACTTAGTGTTTTGCACTCTAGTTTCTCTATGCTCATTTCATCTCACAAAAACACTAGAAAGACTAATGGTTTCTCAAACACTTTTACCTCAAAGAGCTGCTGCCATAGGAACCCTGAAGATTTAACAGTCCTGACTGATCTCCTCTGGGACCCCCCACACTCTCTCCCTTGGGACTCCTTTTAAGCTCAGCCTGGGCCAGTCATTCCCTTCCTGAGTTGTGCCGTAGGTTTACCCGTCTCAAGCCCTGTCTACTGGATGAAACTCAGATTTTTACTGCATCTGTTTCTCCTTCTCCATCTTCTGCTGCTCCTACCTGGACTCTGGATAGACCCCGGACCTGGTTCACCACTTCGCCTTATCCAGGGCTGAGGGCTGTGGATTCCAGCACCTGTCTCTGATTTCCATGCTCAGTATTGTGCCCTGGTCTGTGAGGGTACTGCCTGGGCTGGGATCACCCTTGACTCCCTGCTCGCCCTCCCTTAGGAGCAGCCTGTCATCACTGACAATTATGAAGCTACAAATTAAGTCCCAAAGTCATTCAGATGGCAATGCGCCATTTGAACTAGGCCACAAGCCAGATGGCAGTTTGAAAGGTTAGAATTGTTTCATCTTAGATATAAGATTATCCAGAGGACCTAGCAAGAAGATGGAACTATTTTTATGTTGTAAAAAAAATACATAGGCAATAAAAGACAGTCCCTCCCCCCAGGGCCATGCATTCTAATTTAGGATTAAAAAAAAAAATAGGAGAAAGAGAAGTAAAAAGGGTTAGGAATAAGGAGCAAGGCAACCAGTAAAAAGAAGTAGGGACTAAAAACTTGAGCACTAAGATAGATGTAAATTATTGGATTGTCTTTCATGTTGATGCGTCCTACTGCTTCTTACTCCATGATAAAACATTTGTTTTATGGACTTGCCTATTTTTATACAGAAAGACCTAAATGAAACTTGCCTCCTCCAAGAAGAAAGCTTTGCTTTAAACCTTCCACTTCAACATAGCAATATTAAGCCACTAGGGAAAAGCAAAACACAGCAACCACAAACAGATGCTCAGAAGAAAAAAGATCCTTTTAATTTGCTTTGTAAAGTAATGACAAACTAGTACAGAGAATTATGAAATTATGAGAGGGAAAAAAAGTAAAAGGAAACAAATGGACATGAATCATGCTCACTATTAAAATGTGGAATAAAAAACCCCAACCCTTCAAATAAACTAAAGCAAACTAATCATCAACTCAAATAATTCAGACAAAATAAAAAGTTTTCATGTTAGTTTTATCTTGACAGATTTTTTCCTAAACCTTCCTGTTCAAAATTATTGAATATCTTTGTGGACAACTACAGCAACTGGAACACAGGAAAGAACTCATTACAAACATTGTGTCATGCTTTCTTAAGCTTCTCGCAATATGGTTTTGCAGCTAAAAGTAAATAGGAAATTATAAGGGTATCTGATAATTGGCTATTCAGCATAGAGATCAAGGAACAGGACAGGTGATAAATTAAATGCACATACACTAACAAACTCTAGCAAACTGCAGATAAGAGAGAGTAAAAATAACCAGAACTCCTAGGACACTGATGGATGGGCCAGTACAGGAATAACTTGAGTTTGACCTTGAAAAAAAATCAACCAGAAACTTCGTAAGGAATAGGAACAATGTTATCTTGGGTTACCAAAACCACATCTCATCAAAGAGCAAACACCGGAGAAATTCTGGGTCTGGGTAAAACATATTAAGGTATCTTGATGGAGACTATGCGACAGTGAAAAACTTATCGATGTTTAGGGGAAGAACCAAAGACAAGGAAAGAGAGGGATCAAGGTAGATAGGAGAGAAACAATTATTGGGAACAGAAAGGGGATTGGGAATAATACTGGTTGGCCACATTAGCAGGCTGCAGGTTGCTGCTCTGCATCACCACTGGTGTCTGTCTCATCCTCTCTAGTGCTTTCTGCTCCTAAACGGTTTCTGAGTACATTAATTTAATTAAATTCACTTTGGCATAACCTGTGAAATAGAGAAAAACACAATCTGGAATCCCAAGATCCTGGCGAGAGGCTGAACTAAAAAGCCCAAGGCCTGGAGATGGACACTGGAAGGACTCAAGGTTTGACAAAGAGTCGATAGCTGCATGACCATAAGTATGCATGTCAGCCAAGGGAGGACACGTGTGATATCCTAACAAATTTCAAGCCTTTTTACCTGATAAGTTGGGACAGGATTAGACCATTTGTGGCCTTTCTTTTCCATGGGAATGCCATTTGTGTTTGAATGTGCTGGTAAAAGCCCTATCCTGCCACCCAGCCATAATGTCATCCTGTCTGTGTGTGCACAGGCATATTTTTGCAGTTTAGGCCCAGACGCACTTCTGTGCACCTGGGAACAGTCCAGTGGTCTCATGTCTGAAAGACCAGGAAAGCAGGAACCTCCTAGATGATATCATCTGGCATCACAAACAGACCCCAGATGGGCTCTAAGTATTCCTGAGATGGCGACCGTAGAATCCCTACATATGGAGGAGACTGATCCACTATAACCCAAGTGCTAGAAGTTGTAAGCAGAGAAAATAGGTCATCTTGGGACACTAGAATAGGAATAGTTAGGGAAAATGAATGTACAGAATATTAACAGAATACCAAAGGTACAGTAAGAGGTGAGGTGGCTTTACTCTATAGCTAAGACATTCCTTGGAATTTGAAATAAATTCTAATATTGCAAAAGGACATCCTTGACTTAAGAAATTCAAACTTCAGGGGACAGACGTGAATCATACAGAGAGAATCTATAATCCTTGGAGGGCAAAGTTCAGCTGCATCTTGAGATAAAGAATTTTATTTTTGATCTGCCATATCACCTTCTTGAATACACCTTCCCTTACATCTACTGAAGTGCCATGCAACTGAAAATTCTGTAAATAATGCAAAGAGTGAATTTATTGGAAAATGTAAACTATTTCTTGGCTGTTATCACTAAGCAAATACTTTTTATCCCTGCTAGTCAACAATAAATGGTTGGACAGGATGATCCTAGAGTCTATCACTGCAAGCAATGCAGAATGCTTGTGTTATCCCTGACCTGAAAGGGGAAAAAAAAAAAAATCCACAACAAACAACAACCAATAAACTGTTTAAAGACTGAGAACCTCTACTAAAAATCCTTAACAAAAACAAAAAACAAAACAAACAAACAAAAACAAATAACCCAACAAAACAACCAAATCAAAACTAAATGATGATATGGCCACCTGGGATGGATCATCATCATCTATGTTGTGTCCCATAGCAGATGATTCAGGAGCCAAGAAGTGTTAGGCTGCTGCTTTGGCTGAAGTAAGGGTTGCTGAGAGGGACTGGGTAAGAAGGTTCTCCAGAACCTCAGATCCATCCTCCCACTAGACAGCTGGAGAGCTAGATTAGATTCCCAGAGCAGCAGGGACCATATCTTTAATCAAAACCATTCCTGTTCTAAATTTAACCAGTGAACCACAACAAAATAAAGAGGTCAAAAGAAAATTTAGTGGAGGGGGAGGAGAAAGGAGGGGCTGGAGCTGAAGGGTATGCAGGGCAGAAGGCTTGTTACCTAGAAACTGAGATGTCCTCCTCCCATACAGCCTCTGGGGAGCTAATTAAATCACAAGTGGCTCTCCTTGTGAACCACTGAGGAGGAGAGAAAGGAGAGGCTAAAGTACCTCTCTTCACCTTCTTTTCAATAACTAATTCAATTTACAGAACAGAGTTGTAATTCATTTGATTGTGCTAAGAGTTACCCCAAGAGCAGAAAGCACCCTGCACTGGACCAGTATGGTGGAGGTTTCCTAGACTGGAAACACAAGTGTAATGAATCACCTCAAAGGCTTAAAGCATGCAAAATGCAAATTGTAGCAGTTCCCTGAGGTGAGATAGTTGCATAGCTTTGGGGGCAGGGAGTCCAGAAGAAAAAGCAGATACATCTGTCCATACAACTGTCTCCAAGCAACTTTTTAACTTTCTATGAAAGGAGGATTCACCTCTACTCAAGCATTAAAGATTTAATGGTATGTTGGTGGCTTCTTTAGGGATAAAACCAGTAGCAAAAAAGTCTATGCAATAGAGACATAGTGCTTGATTGTTATCATCTAGATGTCACAGAAATACAGCTAGCTCTTAATACATTTCTCACGTGGTAGGGTATAAGAAAAAACATCTGTGGCTATAAGAATTGTGGTGCCATGGTTTACTTAGATATAAAATCATTATATACTTTCAGACACATTTGAACTGCTATTTGGGAAAAGTGTAAAAAGAGTATCTACTAGCTTCACTTCAAAGGAATAGAAAACAGTACTAACTTACACTCAAGTTTCATAATCAGAACTAGAAAAAGAAGATATGTATACATGGAAATAAATCAAAACTTTTAGTATAAAATACCCTTGATCAAGACTGAGGAATATGGTTTAGAACCACTGTAAGTTTTTTTACGTACCAGGTCTGTTTCTTCTGGAGAGTAAACAGCCAACTCTTATTATGGGCTTGCTGGGAAGGAAATGCAACTCTGCCATGAGGAAATAGGACTATTATGTAAACAAGCCTAATTAACAAATACCTTACGTTTGAGAAAAGACAAGGCCCAGTTACAGCTCCTATCTGAGGAATGAGCAATGAGCATTCCAGCTGTCTCGGTCTTTGGCTCTCAGAAATAATCTAAGGGATCCCACCCATTCACAGACAAAAGTAACAAAGTCCTCCCACCTTATCATTCATAACTCAGAAAAAAAAAATGATAGAATGTATGAGACCTCAAGGACAAGGCAAGAGAGAGGAACTCTTTGCGGATCATGCTGAGACTATTCAGAGCTGCTATGAATTTACAGCTACTTTTCCTGAATTGTGTGATCAGAAGGGCTTTGGCTGCTCTGTTAAGAAACAATACATTAACACATCACATGGGCTGTAATGAATTACCAGCAGGTAATCATCATTCTTTTCAGAGAACCAGTTTAAGATACCTGCTGTACTGCTTATAGGGATAGAAACAAGAGTCAACAAAAAACATGCAATTAAGTCTTGCAAACTTCCCCAAAAGGTATTTCATAGCTGTACTATGTCCTCTGCTCTAGGACTTTAGCCATCTGCAGAGGTAAAGCTCAGAACCAGGAAAAGCAAGGACACCAGGGATAGAATCCCTGCATCTTTAACTGGGGAAATGCACAGAGAGATAGCTTATGTGCCATTCAAGCTGCAGAATAAGGCAAGAAATAGGAAAGGCAGGAAGTGGTGGCGGTGTTCAATGTAACAAATTGCAGACACTTGTATCTAGCACATTACAGATATGAGGAACAAAGCCCAGAACTCAGCAACTGATTAGTTGCTGATTAGAGCCACTGCTAGAGGTTTAAAGGTGTAAAGGTTTAACCAGAAATTTTAACTGGTAAGAAAACAAAGCTATTATGGGTTATCAGAATGGATGTTGTATGACAGACCAAATTTACTGTCCAATATCACAAGGATAGAAGGCTGTGTTAAGCTTATTATGCTATGTTTAGGGAGAGGATCAAAGGAGGAATCAAGGCAGATAAATGAAGAACCAGGGTGAGAGAAGAGACTCCAACCATACATTTGCTGGCTGCTAGTCAGTACACTGCTGTGCCTGATCACTGCAGTCCCTCCTATCTAATTACCAAAGACATTCCTAAATATTCTACCCACAAGTGAGTCTACTGCTAGTGAGCTTCTAGTTGACTAATGCAAATAGGAGGCTACCACACTCTGGAAAAAAACCAAAAAATATTCCAGCCAGAGACTGGCTAAAAGCCCTAGGTCTGGGCAGAAGGACTGTAGGCCTGGCAAAGACATGTGAATGTGAATATGCATGAGAGAGTGATGAGGGTACAGCTACAGCCCACTAGCAATCGTTGTTCATGCTTTACCTGTGCATGTGATAATGTGCATGTTCAAGCTTTACCTGTATTTGTGACCAGCTGTGCATGCACAAATGTCCCTGCAATTCAAGCTCAGCTGTGCTACCAGCTGAACTTGGAACAGTCCAGCAGCCTCACACTGAGCAACCTGGATCCCCTGAGTGCTGCTGCCTACCAGTTCTGCCAACTGCTTAATGGAAACAGGACTGGCCAATGCTGATAAAATAATTCAGATTGTCCAAAACCAAGTAAAGTCAATTTGGTTTGAGGGAAAGAAATAGTCAATTCATTATTTTATTTTCGTAACAAGAATGCTGTGAAAGTGGGGGAGAAATGTAACCTGAGAATGGGCAAGAATATTGGCTGATACTTGAAAGGAGGTGAAAATAACTTGCAATATTTTCTAATTTTTTACCATTCAAATCAAAGCATAGAAGCATTAGAAGATGTCACTGAAAACACTTGGAAAATTAGTACGTAAGCAGCAATCTGAGTAAGCTAATTGAACTCTAAGCGTTGCCCATCAACGTTCCTGGGAACCAAACTTAGTTCATAATTGCTCACCTCAGGTTTGGATTCTAACTCATCCGATAACATTGATTCAAGTGTCCAACTCCTGCAGCTGTTCTCAGCAAGGCACAGATATTTTTTTTATTTTTTTTTTTTTTTAGTTCAGAGAGAACAACGCTCCCTGATTATTTTCATATTTTCCTAAGTGCAAACCAGTGTGGTGGTCCTTCTGCAAGAAGCTCTGTTGCAGAAATAATTAATTTAACCTAAAACAACAAAAAGGGAAACATAAAGAAAGAGGAACTGAAAAACAAGAGCAAAGCAAAAAGAAATGAACATGTGCTGATGCAACTGTAAAATATACTTTGAGGTATTGGTAAAACTTATTTCCTGAGGTTCTTGGATTTCTGTTTTCACTGAACCAACAAAATAGCCTTTAAAAATTAATTTCATTGTGTTAGGATGTTATTTACCACATTTTGTTTGCAATCACTAATTTTCAATGGAAAATTGCCTTATTTGTTCTGGGAACTTATGGGATCAACTGCAAATCACATAAAGCATGCAAGATATGAGGAAGCTGAATTCCCAGCCCACAACACAGTGGAATTATCCAAATCATTGATAAAGTGGAGCCATATACAAACAACCTGTCAGCAGGAAACATCGGTTCTTTCTGTCAGCCGAGATATTTCACAGAATAAGAAATTTAATTTCTTGATAAGCCCAGATTATAGAACTTATTTCACAAATACCCATATGATGTTTGTGCTAAAAGGGGAACACGAGAACAAGCTTTTCTTGCCTGCCAGGAAAACACTCAGACACTGCTGATGGGAGAAAAATGTGAACTGCATACAGTTCTTTCCCCTTTCCAACTCAACTACCAATCTACTGACTATGTTAAAAAATAACGAGAATACTGAACCAGCTAAAAAGAAAACCTAAAAGCCTTGTTCTCACACTCCTGACAGCAGCACTGCAGCACGGAGCTTCACTTGCCGTGAAGGGGCCAGACAGCACACACAGCGAGCGCAGAGTAGCTGAGCCCAGTGCACGCAGCGAGCTCGGGCCCGGTTGTTCTGCCGCGGCCCCCCGCTGCCCCTGTCAGCCCGTACCCAGCAGGGCGGGCCCCGAGTGACCCGCGGGGACAAGAGCCAGCGCTGCCAGGCCCAGCTGCCCCCGCTCCGGCCGGGAGGAGCCTAGCGGAGGCCCGGGGGCAGGGCGGAGCGCCGAGGCCCGGCGGGGCAGGTGCCATCCGCCCCAGGGCGCGGGTCCGGCCGCAGCCGTGAGGGCCGGCTCCGGCAGCGGGGACGGGAAGGACAGCTGGGCAGGGGCGTCTCCCCACGCTCCGCGGCTCGCTGGGCTCCCGCAGCCCAAGGGGGTCGGCGAGTCCCGCAGGAGCGGCCGGGCCACCCCCACCAGCCGCCCGCCTTACCGGCATCTCCGCCGCCCGGACGTGACGGGCCCCGGCCGGAAATGCCGCGAGGGCTCGGGGCGAGCGCGGGGCGGGGCGATGCTGCCGCCCGCTGCAGTCTGTTCCCATCGCCCCCGAGACAGAGGAGAACAGCTCGGTGCTTGGGTTCTCCCCCGGTTCCGTCGGGATCGTTACCAGGCCTGCAGTCTTCAGCTGCAGCCTGATTCCTCTGCAAGTAACCTTCATTTGGATTGTTACCGTACAAGCGAACATTATGCCGGAGCCTTATGGAAGACTTCAATCCGCTGAGCTTGTCTGTTTCTCCACATAAATCAACACGGAGGACACATTATCCCAGTTTGTTACAGCACATGTGGAAACACCGGTTTCCTACTAATACTTTGTTTCTGTTTCTGCTTTGCTCTGACTCGCTGCTCTGTCTGTTCTTGCAGCTGGTGATAGAAAACTCCAGGTGTTCACAGTAGCTCACTAATAACATACACCAAGTTAGCAATTCCAGAGACATACATGCCTTTGCAATGTACCTAAAAAACCACGAAACGACTGAGTAATTTAAAAAACTCGAACCTTGGTTTTAGCTCGTTACCTGTAGGTGACCAGGACAGAGCACCTGAAGAAGTTGGCAGCCTCTGGTCTTGACATTAGCAGCTAAAACAGTCACCTTCAGGTCCTGTAAACTTTAACTCGGTGATGGCTAGCCCGTTTCTTTGGGGCCATGTGTGATTCCTGACTCCCATGCCAGCACAGCCACTCGTGGTTCACTCCTGGTGCTGGTGCTGATAAGCAGAGAAAATCCCGGTGATATGGAAGTAACCCAACAGCAGCTGTCAAGGCTGGCAAAATCAGGTTTCCTGAGGCTTCTTCGGAGCACAGCCTCTTCAGATACACGGTGGACTGTGAAAAAACCTGTGGTCACTTCCTGGTAAATGGCTGTCATCTCCCGCCATGAGCTACTTTGGAATGGTTTGTTTTATCCAACCCTTCCAAGATGTCCAATATGGCTACACTGCCTTTCAGAAACATTTGAAAAATTTGATTTGCAGCATAAAGATTCACAGTTATCTTCCTCAGCTTTAAATGTTCAATGAGTGGCTTCATGGAGGACAATGCATTGGAGTCATACTGACAACCTAGTGCTTCAGCACAAAGTCTATTGACCAGCTACCTGCTGGAGCCACCTGGTAACTCCATAAAGACTGCAAGCAAGTTAGATGCATGTCTTTTTCTGAGGCAATTATCCCATCAGCTTGCAGGCATTGCTTTAATGCTAACAAAAGCCTGCACTGTGAAATCAATTTTCAGTCAAGCCGAAGCACATTTCTGTTGTACAAGGCAGGGAAAATTGATTCAACATCCAGAATCAACAGCTTCAGAGACTGGGCTGCCTCAGTGCCATACTCATCCTGCAGATGGATTGTATCAGAGAACCTAGAAAGTCTGGCATTTGTCATGTTGGACCACTCAGCCATAGTTGTGGTGGCCTGAAGCTTTAGACAAATTCATTCATTCAAGCCTACAAAACTGAAAGTGATAGCTCCTGAGACTGAATTTTTAAACACAATTCCAAAAAGCTGGAGCTCATTAAATGACCATGCAACAGTAACAGTAAAAGACCATCTCACTGTACTCTTGAGGAATATATTCAGTGCAGGTAGCTGGATTTGCAGGTGCAATGTAAGCTGCAGATTGAGCTCTCTGGATGGCTGGAGTCCAAGGCAAGAGGCCGTGAACTGCCAACCCTTTGACAAGCTCAGGGACCTGTGGCCCAGCCAGGTAGGTTATTCAACACTCAGAGACATGGCAGGAGCCAAGGACCCTCAAATGTTACCATGCTTAGACTGTGAGGGTACAAAAACCCAGGATTTCCTTTGTACAAGGTCCCAGCTCAAACTCTTATTTGGTTATTGCACCAAGACTGAATTATTTTAAGGACTGGGACCACCGAGACTCTGCTATGGGAAACCTGGCACTGAGATGGTAAGGAAACCTTGTCTGACTGTGTGATTGTGGGGTGTATGGGGAGCCAGGCTCACTGGAGCTGCCCACTGGGAAGGGGTTTTGGTCCCAGTTTAGATGGGGAGAGTGTGACTGCCAGAGTAGCTCCTGGATGATGAGACAGGAAAGTTTCCCTAAGGCAGCATGCCATTGTATTGCTGATCCAATACAATCCAACAAAGTTTAACTATAAATGCAGAACTACTAACTCCATAAACCAACTTTTCTTGATGCTACTTTGGTAATCCAAAGGAACTGAATCATAAAGCTTGATGCTGTTTTACATTAAGATACTCAGTAATCTTGGAAGTCCTTTGACTCATCACCAGCTCAACAATGGGGAATCGTTGAGTAGATATTAAAATATGGAGACATGTAGGCGCATAAGTTCCTTTCATTTACATCCTTCTAGGCCAGAGGAGTTTGCTGCTTCAGAACTTGTATCTTGACTGCCTGGGGAATTTTGGTGGAATCTGCAGTGGGAGTAGCACAGCACTTACCTGAGTTGTTTATGCTGTTTCAAATTGTGCAGGTCTGTGAAGCAACACTGGTCCCTGATGAGAGAACTGGCTGGCTGGGAATTTCCTATAGTCTTACTTTTATAATAACATCTGCCTCTACAGGCTCCTTCTCTCCAATCAAGGAGAAATGGAAGACACATTTCCCCCAGGACCAGATTAAAGAAAAGATAAGTGATACTGGTTTTTCACCCTGCTGTGAGACAGCAAAAATGGCTAGTCATGGAGTAAAGGGAGAGCAGTTGTTTAGATTTGGTTGTTGATTAATCTGGTTATAATGTGTGCCTGCTCCGTATATGGAGAAATCTAGACTTCATTTCTATTAGCACATCTTTTATTATTTTGTGTGTACACTTCTGAACACTCAGATATAAAGTTGTTACGGAAACTGTCCATTATTCCAAGATACTGGCAGTACTCAATTTTATTTCCATTAGGTTTTTTAATTATAAAAATGTATGTAATTACCATCAGTTCGTTGCTCAGCCTTTACAGCATCAGCACGTAACAGACTTTGAAATTCCCTCAAAACTCTGTGTACACAGATGCCACCTTTACACACCTACAGCGGATGTTGGCACGGGTGTTATAAAAGCGGATGAGATTTGAGAAACCGAGAGTACTAAGATTTGGAGGATTTTCTCCTGTACCTCCCCAAGCTCGCACCCGGTTCTGTCACATGTCGGTCTCTGCCGCGCTCCACCTTTCCTGCGTAGTCAGCGCGTTTCCCGCGGCAGCGGCAGGAATGCTGCTGAGGTAATTCTGCTGGCTCAAATGCGTACGTGCGGTCCCATACGGGCCTCCGCCACCAGACATCACCGAACACCGTTCCCAAGTTTTCCTGTACACCGGGTACGCGGGGCAGGCGCGCCCGGCGGGGGCCGTCCCGCGCCTATCCCCCGGCAGCGCTCGGCGCTCCCGCTGCGGAGCCCGCATGGAACGTGCTCCCGGGCGCGGCCCGCGCAGGAGGCTCCGCCGCACTGCGTTGGGAGCCGCCGGAGGGGCGGGGAGCGGGGGGGCCTCGCCGCCGGCACGGGGGGCCGAACGGCCAACGTCCCCCGCGGGGCGGGCGCGACGGCTCCACCTCCCAGCCCACCGCCGGCACGTTCCACTTTCCCCGCGGGGTGAGCCCTCCTCCCTCCGCCGCGGCGGCTCTCGCGGCCCCGCAGAACCGGAGCGCGGCGCCGGCGTTGTCTTTCTTCGCACGCTACCCTCACGGCTGGGTAGTCCGGCCCGCCTCTCCCCGCCGTGCCGGGCAGTGGTAGCGGCCGCTCCGCCCCTTCGCCTCCCCCTCCCCCCCGGCGGCGCGGGTGGTGCGTCCCGGCAGCAGGCGCGTCCCGGCCGGCGCCCGCCCCCCCGCGCCGTGTCATTGATGTTGTTGTTTGTGTCGCAGGAGCCGCAGGCCAGGCCGGGGCCGCCGCCCGGGGCCGCCGCCGCGGGGCTGGGGCCGGCGCCAGGGATGTCGGTGTGCGGGGAGGCGGTGGGCGCCGGCTCCCTGCCCAGCGAGCTGGTGGTCCACATTTTCTCCTTCCTGGCGGCCCCCGACCGGCTGCGGGCCTCGGCCGCCTGCTCGCACTGGCGGGAGTGCCTCTTTTACCCGGCGCTGTGGCCGCGCCTCCGCCTCAGCCTCCGCGTCTCCCCCGCCGAGCGCCCGCGCCTCGAGTTCCTCATGCGCAAGTGCGGCTGGTTCGTCCGTGAGCTCCGCGTACAGTTCGCCGCCGACAACTACCCCACCGGCGGCGGCGGGGCGGCGGCGGGCGAGGGCGCCGTGGTGGGGGGGGACGGGGAGGCGCCGCCGCCGCTGAGCCCGCGCTGGCTCGACCTGCTGAGGACTTACCTGGAGCTGGTGCTGTGCGTCCTGAGCAGCGTCCGCAACAACAGGTACCGCCGGGGGAGCGGCGGTGCCGGACGGAGCCCCCCGGGCCGCGCAGGGCCCGGTGCAGCCGTCCCGCCGGTTTCTGCGGGCGGAAACAACGCCCGAGCCGGCGCCGGCCGGTTCGTGCTGGGGCTGGCCTCGGAGCCGCTGTGTGTGTGTGTGTGTGTGTTTGAGGCTGTGAGTTGGGCAGAAACGGGGACAGCCGCATCAAACTATCGAATTTTTATCATGTAGTGTAGTTTGATGAGGAATATAAACGCTCAGACGTCCGGTCGGCGAGCAGCTGGTCAATACGCAGAACAAATACAGCTGCAGTGATAAAAAAGTTCTTCGTCTTTTAGATGGAAACGGGGAATGCAGCTTGAACGGAGCAAGTGAGAGCCAGGAGTTTGAATTTGCTGCATAACAAGACAGCTTTCTCACTTAAAATAAGCCTTACTACGGGCAGACTTTAGACCTTGTATATGCTTGAAAGAAAGTATGTCATGAGAAATTAGGGGGAGTTAAAATTACAGCTCTGGTACGCTGAGTTACTGCCCCAGTAAAATACATTCACCTTTCTAGCCATCAGGTCTTCTGCTATAGAAAAGCTGAGTTTTCATTCCAGCTCTCCTCTTACCCGCTAATCTGAGGTTTGAGGAAGTTTTATGTTCTTGTGCTTGTTGAAAAAAAGGTTCACATGTAGGACTTTCTTGGCCTAATCGAATTTAAATGATAGAAATATTTTCCTGGTATGGTTTGTATTTAAGATGTGTTTTTCATATTTATTTTGGCAGGTTAGATAATTTTCTCAGCTTTGAGGTCTTTAACACAAAAATACTTGCATTCTCTTCACTGTGTGTGGGTGTGATAGAGATAATAAGATAATAATCAGATATCCTAATATGTGGCCTCTAGTCAGCACGTAAGACAGGAAAGCAGGGATATTACAGTTAAGTTATGATGAGTTTGGAAAGCCATGTAGGTGTTAGGCTTGGAAATAGTTAATATTATTTTCCTCTGTGTGCATATAGATTCACCTATCAAGGGAAGAACTGCAAGTATTTAAGAGTATCTTTAGGATGAATTAAACCTTGTGGATGGCCTTTAAAAAACTGTCTGCAACTGAGTCATGATCTTGTTCCTGCCCCCTTTGATTCCAGAGGTATTAGAGAGTAGCTTGAGGCCTTCCTTGTGTCTTTATTTTGAATTGTAGCAAGAGAACTTTAAATGCAATTCCTTGTTGGTTTGAGCTGAATGCAAATGTGGTGTGTGAAGTCTCAGTTCCTCTGTTGCACCCAGCAGGTACTTCCTGTGGTACTTCAGAAAACAGCTCGTTGCTCCCAGCTCACCTTTTTCTTAGTTTATTTCTTGGCCTGTGAATCCTTGGCGTGCGAATCATAATCATCTGTCTTGATTTGTGTTCTCTTGCATTTCAGGAGCTTTCACTTAACTGTTGAATCTGTAGGAAATCTAGTATTTTAAGAAGAAAAAATGTTGAAGTGATTGTGGTGATTGTCTGATGTGAGACAAATATCATGACATGGGCTTGGAATTTTAAAATCAGTATTTTCTACAGGAGACATTTCATGGGGGTGTTGTTAGAAAACGAAATTGTTTCTTTTTTTCCTCACTGAAATGCAATGCTGTCAAAATCAACTGAGATGTTAGAAGGCTTTTGATACACTTTTTCTTTTGAGAAATTCTCCATAGCCTTATCTGAAATCTGTACAAGGACACTGGCTTTCTGAAGTTCATTTTACAGATTCTGTATGTACACTGACTCAGGACTATAGTAAAATACTGTGCAGGAGTAATTGTTTCTCCAGTACCAGTTCTCTGGTAGATTAGTATAATTTTGGTGCTAAAACAGGGATGAAGAGTTACTAACTTCGATAGGATTTTGCATTGCCGTACTTTCTTGCTGTTCCTAAATAATTTCTGTGCTGCTCTTTTGGTTTTAAATGAATGGTGCATGACTGGGGAGTACAGGGTACCTGGTTATTACAACAGAGTTTTTTTAATGAGCATTTTAAAAATTGGGGGAAGAGTGGCATAATTGACATTAAACATTTGACCTTTTTTCAGTTTTGCTTTCAGAATAGACTTTTTTTTTTCCCCTTGAACAGACTAGGTTTTTAGTTTATTTTTATGTTTGATTTTTTTTCCTTGCAAAGTAACTACATATAACTCACTAGTTTTCAGGTAGAACACTGGGTATTAGTTATTTAAGCAGATTTTTGAGATTGAAAAGAGGTGAGAAGGAGTATTAACATATGCCGAATTGGTGCTTAGTTCTTACTTTGACCACATGTCTAAACCAGAGGCTTTGTCACCTGTCTGATGCTTAGTTTTGTACAAGGAGGGACTGCAGTCCATAATTAATCAATTTCTCTGCTTCTCTTTATTTGTCTGTAACTCAATGACTATTAATAATTCCTTCTTGTTTTCCCTGTATTTCACTGTACACAAGATAGCTATTGTAATTTCCAAAATAATGGAAATTTTTAACTTCTCCAATGGCTGAATCACTATAAATGCATTCCTTTTGGAATTAAGTTTAGAACAGGACAGTCTTTCATAACTCCTGTCAGCCCTTATGATAGCTTTTTGGCAGATAAGTTAAAAAAACATTCTGTCTTGCACTTCAGAACTGAAAAGGGAGAAATCTGCCTTTGTGATGCTGTTTCTTAACTGTGTAATGTTGTTTTGGGGTTTTAAATTTATTACTAAGCAGTGTAGTAGCAACCTTCCTCCTTGCAAGAAAAATCATGTACTTTAAATGGCTACAGATTTCCTTGAGGATTTACAATATTGGACCTAAGAAAAGTAATTTACTAAAAGTAATGAAATTTCTAAATGCTTTCTTGGCTAGAGGAGAATGACGTGTGGTTTTGCTACTAAGAGCATTTTCTGCACAACATAAAATTGCTAGTTTCTAAGCAAATCGGTGTGTTAAGTCTCTAGAAAAATATTTTGGAGTGACCTTTGCTAGTTTTGATGGAATTAAGGAAATAACAACTTGTCTGCAACTTGTTTTTAAAAAAAAATAATTTTTTTTGACAAATACTCCTGCTGCCAGCCAGTTACCATCCAAAAAGGTATGTTCAAGGTCTGTCTCATATTTGAAACAGAGCTCAAGTTGTTTTGTGGGTGGCAGCATTTTACTCACAAAATATTGGGAGTAATATCATTGGGTCTTGATGAGCTCTAAAAATCTTTCATTTGTTTAATTAAGAGATACTAAAATAGCATTTATAGTGATCTGTAACTTTTCCATAAGCTTTTACATTTATGACAGCAAAATAACAAAGTGTTTAACTGTTTAAAAGCTAACGTTCTACTTAATACTGAGAAAAAGGGGTGTGGGTGGGCATGATGTTTCTTAAATCCTCATGATCTGCACCTTCTTGAGTTGATCTTTCAAAATTAAGTTCTAGAATGCAGAGTGGGAGTGTGACAAACTTTCTGTTTCCACTTGTGTGCATACAGCAGCTAATAGGCACCTGGTGATCCTTCAGTAGGAAAATCCAGTTCTTTTATGTATCAAAGTATAGTCTCTACTCCTCCTTCCTTGCTTACAAAGGAAGATAGGAAGGTAGTGACACACACACCCACCCCCCTCTTTTCCTGCAGCATGTTAAATTGTGTGACTTGCTTGATCTTTGCTATGGAAACAAAAATGCAGATTACTATAAAACTGGGCTATCTTGCCTGAGGTATGGTATCTCTTGGAGTTTCCAAAAATTGGTGAATCGCTCAAAACAGTAGACTGCATCTGTTTTTGTTGTTTTCTAATGACCTAAACCATTTTAATGATAAATTGTTTTCTGTTGGTTTGAACAGGCAGCTGAAACTGGCAGAAACTAGTATAGTAATACAATATGTGCCTTACCACTTTGTTCGCCTTGAATGTAAGCAAGGACATTTTGTGCTTTTTTTAACTGGGTATTAAAAAGACCAACCAAAACTGAAGTGGAGCCTAGTAAGAAGCTTATTATTTCTAGTGTGCTTTTTGAGCTAGTTGAAAATAAATGTTTTAGTAATCTTTCCAAAACACAAGTTTTCCCCCAGCTGTATGTACAGATACTACACAGGATTAAGATGCCATTATGACTTCTAGGAAAAGGTCATAAGTAACTGTTAAATAATTTTATTTAAATAGCAGTCACTTTACTGACTCTCTGAAATGAAGATGAGCAGTGAGCTGAATGTCATGGAGTTCTGTAACACTGCAAATAATAGCAAATATCTAACATTGTGTTGAACTGTGATCAGATTTGTTGACGGTAATAACTGTGCTGTGAATGGAAAAATAATTGGATATTGTCATTGGTGAAGTTTTCAGGCAGAGAACTTTTCCATTTATCTCTATACTGCATGAAATGGCAGTCAAAAAGATGAAGTAAAAATGTGTGGGACAGTAGTAATTAGTGTTCCATGTGTCCTGTACTTTGGTGGTTCTCTTAATGCCTGCTTACATCCTACTGTAGCACTGGCTGGAGGTATGAGTGGCACAAACCAAGACCTGTGTTTGATGTGAATTTGCAGGTGATTCAGAACTGTTCTGAAGACTGCATTTTGGCTCTTGACTCTCACAAATAAGTCACCAAGATCAAAAGATAAAGGCTTATTTTTAGCATTGGCTGTGAACACTACTTCTCACACCAGGTGGAGGTTTCTGCTACTTCCCTGTCATACCAGACTATCTCTTACAGCTTTTGAGGAAAAAAGAGCCCAAATTATTCTCAGTTGAGTGTGCCAGTGTTTTAGGTTTTCCTGCCAAGCTTATTCTTCAGTAAGATCAGGCAATGTCTTAGTGAGATTTGTAGAATATTGATCATATTTTAAGGCTCAGTTTATTTTAGCGTATCATCAGTACAATAGGCCTGTATTTAAAATACATAATATTAAATGGTCAGAATTTCAGACACAGTTGTAAATTCTATGTATTTAACTCCAGTATTTGTCAGACTTTATATGAAGCTAGTGGATCTTTCTATTAAGTTGTTATCCTATAGGAAAAAAGTAGCAGGTGCAACAGTGGATAGATTTCAGGCAGTCAGTGTGCTGTTTTTGAATTCAGGAACTTCAAAACAGGTAAATTATGATTTATGGTAGATAACATCTATAGACTGCAGCTCATACTGACTAAAAAATATAAGACTTGGCTACTTAATCCTTTTTTTTCCTCCCCCCACCTTGGTAGAATATCAGGTTGTACTGTGGAGGTAGTGAACTGTGCCAGAGCTTCCCTATGCTTTGAGCATGGTAACCGTATTGCATTTTCCTCAAGGCTGGTTTGAAATACTAGCATATGCTTTGTGAGCCAGAGGAAATAAGGATTTATGGTAACTCACATAATTGTGAGCTACAGGTTAATTGGCATCTACTGTTTAGGATTAATTTAACTTATGTGTCCATTTGTGGTGAAACTGGAGTTTCTGCCTTGTTAATTATCAATTGTAGACAAGCCCTTGCATGTTAGGAGTAAATCTAATTTATAGTGTATATAAATAAAGGAAATGTTGACCTAAAACTTAGCTACAAAAATAATGATCTTAATAGTAAATGCTACACAGCTACTTTAAAACTGCAGTCGTTTGCATACATCTTTCTTGATCTGTTTTAGGAATAGAAAAGATGCAAGTCAGAAAATTGAACTAGGGAAAGGAAAAGTGACTGTCTAGTGCACTGTGTTGTGTTCAACATCAACTCAGAGGTTCTTCTTTCACTTATTTTTTGGTATCCCTTCTAAAAGTTAAAATCATATGTCATGGTTGACTATTATCCCTTACTGATGAGGAGTATCAGAAAAGTTTCCCCTACTTTGATATAACAGAAATTAGACACTGATAAGGGTGTGGGGAGTTTTTGCTTTTCCTGAGGTTTGTGATGCCTTGATTGAGGAAGGTTTGGGCTCCCACTTGTAACCCAGTTGATGTAAGTGCTCAGGCAGGGTTGTTTGTGGTTGTGTTCTACTTGGGCATTAAATGCAGTGCTAAGTATTAAAAGGAGTAAGTATTTGATGTTTTCATCTGTGACACTTAACACACATATTCCAAGGATTCAAAATTGCATGAAACCACTCATAAGTTTTCCTTGTGGTGCTTTAGGCCTGCTGAAAATACTCCTGACTGACTGGGAAGCAGTATTTGCTCTTACAGCTGGTTTCAGCAGTTTGTGTAGTCCTGTTTCCCCTTTATACTTCAGTCTCATTTTCTGTAGTCCCATACATGCCTGCATTTCAGGACGGTTGTAAAGTTTCCCAACACAGGCTATGTGTCCTGTGTAATAATGGCATTTATTGCCTGCATTTGTCTGATCCAGAAGGATTTCCCACACCATTTTAGTTTTGTGTACAGATTGCTTTTTGTTTTGTTGTTTCCTAGGAACCTCCAGAAGTTGAGTCTCTTTGGGGATATAAGCATTCTGCAGCAACATGGAACTATATCAAATACCTACCTTGGAAAGGTTGACCCTGATGGCAAGAAGATTAAGCAGTAAGTTATATTTGTAAATTATTAAATATAGGATAATAATAATAAAAATAGATAACAGAACACAGAAATTCCTGAAATACATGAGTGAGAAGCTTTAAGTTTTTTAACAGGGTGAAAATCTAAATTCTTTTTCCTGCTACTTACATTAAGTAGTCTGGTTTTGTGGCTGTTGTATTTTTGTTGGGTTTTTTTCCTCCGTTCTCAGCACAGTGAGAATCCTCTCTTTCCTCTTTTCATTGTGTTCTAGAAACAATACTATGTTAATGCCACAGAAGGGGAGGAGAGATGAGGGGCTTTACCAGCACCTCTTACTATTGCTGTACATGAAAAAAAATTAGAAAAGGAAGTAATCTGTTGTATTTCACAAGAGTTGAGAATGTGTTTGTGTTAATGTTTTCTTTCAAGTTTGCTTGAAAGGCTAAGAACTGGAGAAAATTTTCTTAGGACCTACAGGTCATTGTACTAGCACCACAAATCTAAACACTTGGATAAATGCTTTGGTGCTTGCACTAAATAGTTGATACGCAGATTGCATTAAAGCATTTGCTGTCTTTTTAAAAGTTTCTTACTTCAGTTTCCACTGGGGAGAAAAGCTACCCTAGAGCTGCAGAGTTCTGTGTCATATTTCTTTTTATTAAATTTTGCAGGTAGTGCAACAATATTCTTTGAAGCTCAAATGTTTAAGGTGTATGAGAACTGCAATTTAAACAGATTTTTAGTGCAGTGAGGGATATAAATGGTAGTATTCTACTGAACACCTCAAAATTTGTCTTCAATAGTTCTGTAAAATATTAAAAATGTTATTAAGATTGATTACCTAGGCTATTACAAAATAAATCCTACCATTGCTGCAACTATTACAGCACCTTTTGTGGGTGTGTATGGGGGGAGGGAGGAGTCTTTGGAAGAAATTTGATATTGCTGTGGTAGAATCTTTTTCTTTGGGGGATTGTGAGATAATCTGCCTTCAATTTAAGCATTGCCAGGCATAATTATGAAACAAACATTGCCAACACCAAGTAAGGTTCATCTTAACTCTAAATGAATTTAGGAATAAAACAGAAAAACTACACTGTCTGTGGGTCTTACCCATTGTTTAAAACTGTTTCATTTGTGTCACAGTTGCAAATCCTCAATTTAAAATAAAATGTCTGGAGAAATCTGGAAATATTGAAGTCTTTTTACGTGTTGTTTATCCTAAGCAAAACCTTGGGAGCTGAGGTGTAATATAAGTACAATAACCATACCAGCTCTTCCACTTGGGTGAAGTCAGGCCTTGCAAACCCCAGTACTTTCATAGGAGAAGCAAGAAAGCACACATAGGCAAGGGAGGAAGTGAATAAGGATTTGCCGAGAGAGAGGATGAATGAGGACTGATCTTTTACCTTTATTACAACAAAAGGATTATGGGGCATCAAAGGTAGTAGGTGACAGGTTCAGAGCAAGCAAGAAGAGGAGGGTAATCACACTACAGAGTTCTTTATTATTGGATGTTATGCTTGCTAAATGCTTATGCCACTAAGGGAGGAACCTGCATGAATTTGTAGAAGTGAAGTCTCTGAGAGTTGCAAAATACATAAAGCCACCTCTGTTCAGAATTGAGTTACAAATTTTTGCAAACTAGAGAAATATTTGGTGAATATCCCTACGTGCTTTTCTTGTTTCTCTCACCTGAAGGTGCTAGTGTTTCTCTGCTGTCAGGATACTGGCCTAAACCTTTAATTTTGCCTGGACATTATCTCTGTTAAAGTGACATGGATGAGAATAAAAATTTTGTAATTTTTTTTTTTGCTTAGATATATAAAGTATACAGATCCTCATAGCAATAAAAGAAGTGTTCTGTGCAAAAGTATTACCTGATTTGGGGAACAAAAAATTCTGCTGTTTTTGTACTGGATCTCATTTCTTAATGTTTTATGGGACTGTCATAGCCTGGCTCAACTGCTTCTCTGTAATGCTGACCAGGCTTTGAGATCAAATACTTACACATGTGTCTAATGTGCTAAAAGAACACTTGTCATTTGGGCAGGAGGACTCTTTTGGGCCTTTACAGCTTTGGAGTGAAGACTGGAAAAATACTTACATGGAGAAAGTTTTTAAAGTTTTTAGAGTGTGGCTGTACTATTTGAATTTAATATTGAAAATTTCAAATACTTCTGTTGCCTTCTTGAACAAAATATCTTAATGTTAAGGACATCTATTCACAAAAAAATAAAAGGGGTAGGAGAGGTGGGTGCATCAGAATAAATTCGTAATAATCTGGCACTGATAATTTGTGATTGAAATGTTACTGGGTCCAAGTTGTTTTGGTAAAACATGAACCTGTTGGCACTTGAATATACAGTTAGTTGTGCGTTTGGAATTACTTAAAGAATCTTGTATGTTTGTTCTTTACCCTTTAATGAGCAAATCAAGCAGGTAATTTCACATCATTCTAACTAACTCTCAAAATCAAGTTTCTGCCATCTTTCATTGGAAATTACTTTTTTTCCATGCTAAATTTGCAGTTCTGGAGAAGTTAGGAAATACAAAAAGCTGTTTTTAAAAACAAGGGGTGCATTTGAAAGGCATTACAGGTTTTCTTATTTGCATAACCTTAAAATGTATATGGGAGGGTGTTAAATGCATGCTGGAAAATACATGAAGTGAAGGTTCATAGCGTGTCACTGTTTTGGAAGACAAAGTACAAATTTCTTTTAGTTTACAATTTTAACCATTTAAGTGCAGTGGATGTTAAAATGTTTTGGGAGGTCTGCAGTCAGGTTGCAGTTGACAAGAACTATAATAATAGAATCTTCCTGCAGAATAAGGCTATAAATGAAGGAAGAATAATTCTTGAATAAAAAAATTGAATGGTACGCAGTTGGTAAGACTAAACCATGTTTAATAGGATCATTGTCTGTTTTGTTTGCTTACAGAATCCAACAGCTGTTTGAAGAGATATTAGGCAATAGCAGGCAATTGAAATGGCTGTCTTGTGGGTTAATGCTGCAAATAGTAACTCCCACATCATTGTCCTCCTTATCAAACCCCATAGCCAACACCATGGAACATCTGAGCTTATTGGACAACCACATCCTTGGTAATACCACTCTTATCACTGCGGTTGAATTGGAGCGCTTTGTGAATCTGCGTTCGCTCGCTTTGGATTTCTGTGATTTTACAGCTGAAATGGCAAGAGTCCTGGCTGACAGCAACCATGTGCCTTTGCATCGACTGTCTCTCCTGGTCCACAGTGTTTCCATAATGCACAAGTCATTGGACAATATGCCAAAAGATGAGAATTGGCAGGCGTTGACTCGCAACAGCACTAATCTTCGGGTCTATATAATGGCTTTTGATGTCAAGAGTGATGATATGTTAAGGATTCTTAAGCCCAGTATCCCCCTAGAGAGGATTCACTTTGACAGCTATGTCACTTGTGTTTCAGGGGCTGTTGTTGACCTCATATCCAGGCAGTATGACAAGTTCCTCACTCATTTTATACTAATGAATGATGTGATAGATATGTCTGCCTTCCCAGATCTCAGTGACAACCGGAATGAAGATCCACTTGTCTTATTAGCCTGGAGATGCACAAGACTGTCTCTCTTAGCTGTTCATGGTAGGTAACACATTGCACGGGCATAGTATGTGACTTTTAAATGTTTACAAGCCTTCAGCCTTTCTAATCAGCGTGTTTTAGTGGCATGTTACTCAAAAGGCTGCTGCACCATTACTAGACATGCTGTTGTTGAAGGTATTCATTGTATATGAGTTTTAAACGTGCTTGTATTTTACTAACTTCTGTTGAGAAGTCACATAGGGTTTTATTAAACTCCTCAGAGAAATGAGGGTAGCTTAAGAAGTGAGCATTCTAGGAGGCTTATCCTACAAGTGGTCTGCCCTGTGCCAGTTCCATGAAGTGATTTGTTGTGTGTATGTGAACTGAAAACATTTGGTGTTCTTCTGTGAGCTCGCATGCTGGCAAGATTAGATGATTTTGCTCCCTGTTTGTAAATAACATGAGTTAAGTACCCCAGAGCTGAGAAGAAGAAATTTACCAATTTGGTAAGACTATCAGCAGATGAAGGCTGAAAAATATGTGGAGGGGGATGCCTCACTGTGTGTGTTGGTGTCACCAGTAATACAAGAGCTAGGTTTATCCCACATATTTATTTGCCACATAGTAGCAAATAACTTTTAGAATTTATTCAGCTCTGTTATCAATAGAGCACTTGGTGGTAGAAGTTACATCAGTGGCAAATTTTAAGGCACCTGAAACTGAAATAATGCAGAATAATGTTTTTTTATTTCTGCTGGAATCAGCTTACCAAGACCAAGTTTGCTGATGCACGAAGTAGTTAAGCGATAACTGTATTGTGTTGCATAAGAATAAATGTGTTTCCTCAGACTGCTTGGGGGAGTAAGTCTCCAGTTGTTCAGTACAAACAGGAGACCTTCAGCAGCAGGAGCTGGACATTCAGATTTCTATTGGTTGAAATCAGAATGTCCTGCTGTATTTGCTCTCTTTTTTTTTGTTTTTGCGGTCTTTTACTGAAAAATCATTGCTGGGGGCAGGGGAGGCATGATCCATTCAGCTGTCTCTCCTTAATAGTTTCCAGGTGAGACAGATTTTGGGTACTGGTACATGACTGTACCAGTCTAGGTGTGGATTTTAGCAGTTTCTTCTAAAATTTGGATACATGTTTGAGGACCTTTAAAAAAAATTAAAATTGTGTTACCTTAAATTATCCTGCTACAGAAAAGTCTTCTAATATATTATCTAACTTTAAAACCTAGTGAAACATCTGAACATAAGCTTGTGTACCATTTAATACCAGGCTTGTGTGTGTGTGTTTATGTGTATGTTTCCTCTTCTGGTACTAGTTTGCTTTTGAAAAAGCTTTGATTTACATCTACTTTTGGCTGCCGCTTGTCACTGACCGAAAGAGGAAGGGGAAAACATATGTTAAGGACACTTTATATGGGTTGCCTCAAAATTATCTTTTGTGGGACATCATCGTCTTTCCACCAAGGTAGTGTGTCCAGGAGCCAGAGGAAGGCAGATGTTAAATACATTCTTGCAGAATGAAGAAAGGATGTAAAGAGTCTGTGGCCATTTGGGATGGGATGGAGACAGGATACTCATAGTGGTATGATCTAGCACTGTGAATGCAAAGCGTGGTCCATCCGTGAGAACAAAGGCCTTTTTTATTTTTATTTCCTTCTTAAGGGAAGGATACTTCCACATGGGTTTTTATGACTTTGTGTTATAAACATACTGGTGAAGTTTTATTCTGTCCATGAGCAAAACTAAAGTTGAAATTTTTGCTAGCGAGGAAGAATAAATTACAGTGTGTTCATGGTAAATTTGTTGTTCAGTGATACCAGTAGTGAAGTAATAATTTCCTCTTACCTCTGAATACTTAGCTGGACAGAGACTTTCTGGCAGCTGGGAGGTCACAAATTTCAGGCAGAGCTTTTGAAAGGAGAGTTAATTTAAAATGAGACTAAGTTGGGAATAAGATGGTTGTTCTAGTGCATAGAGTTACATAAAAAGTTACATACAGCAAAAGCCATATACCTGACCACATGATGGTAAAAGGGCTTTTTTTTTTTTTTTTTCCCTTTATTCTTGCACTTGCTTTCAAGGATTTCTTTAGTAAGTTCCTTTACAGTCAAGATAACTGGAAGGTGGTGTGAGCTCCTTCATGTCCTGACAGGAGTGTGTCATCATACAGGGAGGAATTTTCCATTGAATTCAATGTCCCTGTTAAGGAAGGGACATTGAATTAAGCCACCTGAATTAAGACGGCTTCATCTTCTTTGGACACTTGTGTTGGAGGTGAAGTATCCAGAGATGAACATTGTGGGAATTCATGCATTCCTAAGAGTTAATATACCAGAAATGAGCCTTACAGATGTGGGCTGGCTTCTTTGTTGAAAACATACCCTAACGTATTTCCAGAGACACAATAGTAAAAAGTAAAAGGAAACAGTATGGATAGTTATTTTCTTTATTGCTTTTACATATTTTCTTCATTCTCTATTTTATTTTATCTATTATTTTTGTGTATTTTATTTTGATACATTATCATGAAGAGCATGTTAAGTGCATTGTTGGAAGACAAAACCACAGTTAGCTTTTGCTTCTCAGCAGTTTAGCTTTCCCAGTTCAAATATTGTGCAGACTGCAGCTTTACTTGGAATCTACTTGGGCATCTCACCAAGAAGCTTAACACCTGCAAGAATCATGATGAAGGCAGAAATGAGCCTTGCCTTTTGCAGTGGAAGGGCTGATTTGGCAGAGCTCCCCAAAAGGGAAGTTCCCAGACCATCTGTGGTTTGCATCTGAATAGGGAGGAGCTTTTCATTTCTCTTAGCCAGGGTACAGAAAGCTTACAGGTAACTGGGGAGTAGGAGTTTTTGAAGAGGAATGCTAATATATACTGTGAAGAGAGGAAAACTTTGTAATTATAGTTTATCTCAAAATAACAAGATGCATTTTTTAGTTTTTTTACACATACATAGATATATATGTACACACACACTCATAAACACACACACACACACTGGGGTGACCTGAAGAGGCTGCAGAGGCTTCTGGTTTGTGTGCGTGCTGAGTTTTTGTTTGTTTGGTGGTGGCTTGTTTGTTGCTTTTTTTTTAATAAGTTTACTTTCTAAAGCAATGAAAGCAAATCTTTTTTTCTAGCATAAGCAGAGTTTTTAAGCAGTCCGTTTATGCATTCAGTTAATTGATAACTTTTTTCATTCTAATTTTACTACAGAGTAGATCACAGGAGGTTTGAAATTTTATATATATAACTTACTGCACTGCTTTGCAAGTAGGAGAAAAAGATCTAGAAAAGCTTGATTAAAGTATCTGAAATATTTTTATACTTTCTTATTCAGAGTGTAAAATGAGGGCTTCACTACTTGAAACCAGAAAGCCCCCACCATGCCCTAGGGGAATTCTGTCAGATGGGACATGATAGAATAGGTTGGGATATTGGGATGGTCTGGTATTAAGTACTAAAAGTAAGAAAACGCCTTGTAGAAAAATGACAGAGCGCCTTTGTTTGTGTTTCCCCATAGGTTACACAGTCTGGGCTCATAATCTTATAGCAATTGCTCGTCTTCGTGGCTCTGACCTGAAAGTACTGGAAGTCACAGAAGAAAGCATTGAATTCGACCAAGGAGAACTGGCTGATCAGGATGTGGATCCAGTACACAATTTCATTGAGCAAGTGTCTCTCGGATTGGGTCGCCCTTGGCACGCTGTCATGGACATAGAACTGCTCAGTGTCTTCACTGAGCCAACCCGTCACTTTTACAGAGAGATGCAAAGCTTCAGTGAAGGCATTTAGCTCCTTATTTACAATTCCTGTGGTTACATATGCAAGTAGGGTCCTATTATGTTTTTTCGGTAGTGTGAATTAACCCCTTTTGTGCTGTGTTTAATCAGTATTAGCTATATAGAATTATATATGTGTATTCTACTTCTTGATCAAAGAACGTAGTCGGGTATTGGTTTAGAAGCTGAAAGTGGCAGTGTTTAGGGTTTTCACGGTTAATGGACTTGTCTACCAAACCTTGCAAAGATACAGCCAAAGGCTGTCTGAGGTTGCCGGCTAACTTTACTTTAATTGAGTAAGTGCATTTTGAATTATTTTGCTATTATATATTGGAGTCCTGTGCTCGGGAGCCAACTGTTTTTAATACCCATATCCATAGCCCAGTGGATTTCTATGCTGTCATTGTGTGCTTAATCCAGTAGCATGCTACTTAATAGGCTTAAGGGACGAGAAGTCTATCCAGGGCTGTTCACTGTAAGACTCTTACCTTGCTTGATTTCACATGCGGATTCTGCAGCATGGCTTAACTCCATTCTCGGCTTTCCTTAGCTGCTAAGCGGTGGTGTGAAACACTAGCGTTCAGGCTCCTGCACTTACAGATTCACTCCACAAAGCTGTAGTCTTTTGGATTCTTTGCAAACTCCTCCTTGTTTGTTCTCATGTTCTGTCATCTTCCTTAAAAGTTAGCTTTGGGCCGAAGTTTAAAAGGAAAAAGCAAGAAATGTGCACTCCGGTGAGGTAAACGCGTAACAGTGAAGATTTCAATACAAAGGTCTACACCTGCAAACAAACATTAGTCGTGAAATCCCTAACAACCAAGTCACTGGATTTTCTCTGTCAGCGCCTGTGTCAGCTGCCAAAGAATAGATTAAAAACGAAGAAGTGCCCACATGCTGGCAGGGGTAGGCCAACTTTTGGCCAGCCAGATACTGCTAGATTGTAATATATAAGGTCGAATTTCGACCTGTGGTACACAGCTGTGCTGTGGCTCAGTCAGCAACCTCAGAACTCTTAACAAACATGCACCTGTTTCACTGTGAATAGTGAATGTAAAGGAAGGAAAGGAAACAAATACAAAGCTTGTTCTATCACAGGTATGAGCTGCTATGATGCATGAAGAACATTCCATGAAGTATGTTTTAAAATCTTGTTATATCTGAGAGGCTTTAGAAGCCGATGTAACTGTTTCAGGGCAACCGCGGTACAGACGTGGTCTCTGTGAGACTTCCACCTGACCCCAGTTTTAAGTGGTACGAATGTTGTGCATTTAATGTTTAAAGGACAGTCTGCAATAATAAAGTAAGTGGCCAACGTGGGTGCCCAGCAGTGCTGAGACCTGGCTGCTATATTGTAAGCTTTGGAAAACACAATTTATGCAACAGATGTCCAGATATGATTCTATTTATGGAAAAAGTTTATATGTGTTTTACAAATGGTTTTACCATCTTATATTAAAATGACCTTTTGACAGGTGTGCGCTGTTTTGTCTCCAGTGAGCACATACCATGCGGATTTTATATGTACATCAGTAGAGTGAATCCACTGGCACAGTGTGTGTATATGCCAGATGTGGTGAGATTTTATCTTATAAATGTGATCAGATTAAAAAAAAACTCCTGACAGAAAATGTAAGGAAACCAGCTGAATGTTTGAATTGATGACTGATGTTGTATGGTTTATGTTAAATGTTATATTCTTTTAATCAATGAATAAAGCATTAAAAATTGATCGCTGTATAAAATACTTTATTGTTATCAGCATGAAGATTTTTAGAATTAAAATGCAACATCGTTCATAAGATGTGTATTACTAGTAGCTCCCATTGTGTTTAGGTCAGCAGAAAAATCTAAAATAAGTCACACGATTTTTTTTAATTTGGCTGAATTTTGTCAACATTTTTTGGGGTGGTGGAGGAATGGGAAGGATGCTTTGCTAAAGATCAGACCAGTTAGCACAAACAATATATCATTATATGACCTATTAGACTGATATAGTAAACTGTGGATTGTAGACTATAGAAGACTATTTTTGAGAAATTACTGCATCAATTGCAATTGCTTAAATCAAAATCTGATGTGCTCAAGAAAAATGTGTAGTACTTCTTTGGTGTCCCACTATTAAATAGATTATGAATACCTGCAACGCTTCAGTTTGACGTTTTATCTGTCCTCAGAGTACACAGCTGTGCCTTCTGAATGAAAGCTGCAGATGTCTGCTCAGCTGTTGGAGAGCTGCTGTGCCCTGCAATGGCTGGCTGTGCTGTGAGGCTTGTCAGAGTGGCTGGTCAGTGTGTGCGTGCCAAGCACGGACTTTATTTGAGCTTCTGAGCTTCACGTTACGATAGCCCAAACTGCTGCCAAGTGTGAAAATTGCACACTGCTTGTTCAAGCAGTTTCCTAGATCTTCCAGATTTGGTAAGCAAGATCATTTGCCGACATACTGAAGAGATGGTGTGGGTAATAAAGATAAGGTAAATACGGTTACAGCTTTTCATATTCCAGTAAAGTGAAATATTGGGACTTGTCTCAGTGCCTTTCAGGGCTCGGCCTCAGGAGGGAGGTTTATGTAGCAGATCAATCTGATGGTGACTGCTCAGCAGCATCTGAGCCTGAAGTTTGGTTGTGAAGTGTTGAAGATTTCAGGAAGTCACACAGAAAAAGCCAGAAATGAAGAAAGCAAATGCTGCATCATCTGGTTTAAACAGTTGCAGAATGGTAATTTTCTCTCTGCAAGCTACTGCATTTTATGCGTAACTGCCTTACTAAACAGTTGGGAAGTAACCTGTTTGCCTTTCTGTTGTTATAAAAGTTTTAATCTGTTTGGTCTAACCTATTTTCTGCTTTGTTTTAATGAACTTAATCTTGAATGATAAGATGAGGAGCAGGAGAAGCAGCCCACTTAACTACAGGAGAGAGATGTGCAGCCCTTTCACTCGCTGCAGTTGCAGCTAGAGCTGGCTCCTAGCAATCAGTGGCTGTCCATTGTTAGAATGCTCCAGGTCTGATATTTTTTCATGCAGCCTGAAGTCTGCTCACTGGGTGTGGCTTGTGTTCAGGGAAGAAGTCAGTGTACTTAAAACAAATGGCTAGAATCTTTCTGTCTTGGAAATTACAGGGAGTCCAGTAAAGCAGGAGTGTGGGGTGAAAGCCATACCTTGAGCAGTGCTGGAAAAATGCACCCGATTTCTATCCTGTCTTAGGAATAGGTAAAAGTGGTGTTTGTTGTCTGCCTGTATTTTCAGCAGTAATCTTAATTAGTGATACCAGGATGAAGGGATTCAAGATGAAGCGATCTGTAATTGTTAGGAAATTACGATGATCTTAATGTTCTCTTGCATTTGGAGTGGGACCTTACAAAATACTGTGAAATTACTTTGAACTTGCATAACCCCATTTTTTAAATTATAAATTTAAAATTTATGATTTTAAAACAAAATTTTACCTTTGTTGTTTCTTTGTGTTTCCTGAAGAGATGGCAATACCAAGTTAGTCTTTTGCATTCTAGGTTCAGCAGGAGCTTGGAACACAAGCCTTCATCTGTCACAGCTAGGTTGCTTATTCTTTTTGGGGTGGGTAGAACAGGTATTTCCCTACATACACTTTTGTGTGTCCTTTCTACATTTGACAGATTACCATCTACCTGCTTCCTATTGCATAAACCTGAGCTTGTTTTCCAGATTTGAAAATAAAATTTTGGACTGCTACTGGGGAGGGGAAAAAAAATCTCAAATGATGCTATTCTCTGTACAGGATGATCGAATCCATGCTTTTCCTGCATTTTCTTAGTACAGCTATCCTTTTGTCTGCAGCTTTTGGTACCATTGTGGGCATAGACTGTTTTGGTGGAGGAAGAATTTTTCAGAGTTAACTTAGAATAAATATTTGGAGAAAATACTGTGTTTGCTCAGAAAACAGATACATTCATAAACAGTTTTTGCAGCCTCCCAGGTGAGGTGGGCAAGGAATGAAAAAGGTTTATGGCAGTGTTATCAGCCCAGGATTTCTGTGCTATACCCTGGTTCTCTGTGCAGGGGCAAGGCTGTATTTGGCAGTTCTGGTTGTTCCTAAGACTGATGACAAGAGTAAGGGTAAAACCCAGTAATTCATTTGAGAATCCTTGTGAAGTCTCTCAGGCAAACTCATAGCCATTAACTAATTGGCTAAAACTGATGCAACAGCCATGTTAAACTACATGGTTAATTTAACACGGATGATGCTTTAAAATGTCTGTTGTCAGAATCTGTCACTGAATTGCTGGAGTACAAAGGCTTATCTAAATGCTTTGAGGGGTGAGCTAGAAGCAGAAAGGATAAAGAAATTGTAGGAGTGAGCCACAGAAGAGTTCTACAGCTGAAAGAAACAAATGTGGGAATAATGGTAGGAGCAGGAATACTGAGCTACAAGAGAAAATGCTCCCTTGGCAGACTCGACCTAAGCAATTAAAAAAGAAGTGGGCTGTTTTTTTTGGTAACATCTAATTATGGGTGTGGTGGCTGCATTTACATTAAAGCCTGCAACTGTGTGTTATGTGTGCGTGCATGCAGAGAATGGAGCCTGGTGGCTGAACGGCTGCTGAGTTGGGGCTTGCTAAAACCAGTTTGCTTCTTTATCTTAGAGGATCCCTTCCCAAATGACTGAGTCTTTACATGGCTTTCAAGTTGAAGCTAAACTGTCAGAGCAGCCACCAGCTCCTAGCAGAAGTCTTCAGACTGTACAGTCACCTAAAAGCAGAGCTTGGCTCTGTCCAGATCCAGCCTGGCACTGGGCCCTGCCCTGGCTGCACTGTGCCTGCTGGGGCAACCACTCCTGCCAGGGAAGCACCAGACAGGAATCTGAAGAGGTGAGCAAGGTACCACAACAACTCATTTTATGGACACAAACTTATTAATGCTGCAGTTTGCCATTTCCTTGTACTTTTTAATTCTGCTTTTGTCCTGCCCAGCATTTTCCCATGCTGGTGTTAAAATCCAAAGCCTAATAAACTGAACTCATGTTGACACAGTAAAAACACACCCCTCCTATTAGTTTGCTGCAAATACATGTCTTCAAAGGCAAGGGCTGGGCTGGGCTGGGCCATCTCCTAGCTATGACTCCTTCCTCTCAGATCATAAAAACCCCCTGTATGCACCTTCAATAAACACTACTCCATTCCAGCTTTTGAAGAGTGATGGGAGAGTTGCTCAGCTTTTCTACTGCCTCTTCCCCCTCTTGTAGAACTTGAGAGCTGAAAGATCACCTACAAGGCCATGAACAAAGGGGGCTCGAGTGGAGAATCATGGTTATTCATATTCACCTATCTATTATACCATGTTACCAGTGACATTGCTTTCATTTTTTGTAGATTTTTATTAACTGTTTCCATTTGTTTTCACATCCTCTTCATAAAGCAGCAAGCATCACTTTTGGCATGCAGAGAGACTCCCTGTACAGCTCAACCAGCACAAAGCAGCTGGACTTTTACAATAAGGTTCACATGATATAATTTTATACACCTCTGAAGAGACTACTCAAGTTAGAAATACTTAATTTAAAACGACTATTGTACAGTGGAAATCACTTATTCACAATATTCATAGGTATTTAATTCTTTATTTACAAAATACTATCCTGAGAATTTTCCCTATTAAGCTTCAATTTGAGCAAAGTAGTTTGTATAGACCTAAGTAACGATGGTTACTTAACATAAAGAAAAATGCCAGTAGGAGAGCACAAAACTGGTTCAGGACATTCCTCAAGTGACTGTCAAGTCTCCTGCTGTGGTTCTGATTCTACAGCTGTATTTGATGGATTTGACTGAGATGGTTCAACTCTATTTTCAGGAGGAGGAGGTGGAGGCAAAAATCCAGGTCGTTGAGGTGGATAGTGAGGATAAGGTCTCATTGGAAATGGACTTCTTACTGTGAGAGAATCAGAGTAATCCAGTTAATATCAATCACAACAGTAAACATGTACACCTGCTCCTCTTGCTGGCTTGCTGCTCAGCTAGGCCTGTCTAACTAGAAGTCACATGTCAGGACACAGAGATGCCAGGAAAGAGGAGAGCAAAACCATCCCTTTTCTCAGTAGTTACCCACTATAGTCTCAGCAGCAGCCAGCCACTGCCAGTTCCTGGGCTGCTGCTGCCAACATCCCCTTCAGTCTGCCACAGCAGCCCCTACATGCTACTCCTTACAGATATTTTGGCAGATAAATAGCTTAGATCTTGACACATACTCAGAGAACAGCAAGAGTCAGAAAGCAGTCTGATACTTACACCTTGCTCCAGTCATGCAAACTCCAAGCAAAAACAGTTGTTTAGGGACCGTGAGCACACCTCTGAGTCAGAGGATGAAACTTTTAAGACTTACGTAACATGTAATTTCATAGGAAGAAAAGGATTAAGGTAACCACCTACTTGCTTCCTTACCCCCAAAACAAATCCATTAAACCTGAACAGTACAAGTAGGTGTATTTTCCAGCCAAAGCTAGTATTTGTGAAAAGATCAAGATGAGCTGTTGTGAAAAAGGAAGTGTCCAACACAATGAACCTTCATCAGAAAAGATGCTCCCTGTTCGCTGACCTAAGAAGCAGTGTGTGCAAATCTGTACACGTGTACCCCCTGTAGTAACTCCCCGCCTGCACAAAGCACTTGTGTTCATCAGCTTGAAACAAATGCTGGCTAAAGGCACGTACTTGGCAGCGAAGGGCGTGGAGGCCCGAAGTCTCGTACTGGAAAACATTCCCGTGGC